CAGAGCCTACCTGATAATGAAAGATCCAGCAAAAGGGGCAGTACCAGACAACTACAGGTCACTTACTTGCTTATCAACAACCTTCAAATTGCTAACTAATGTAATAGCAGCTGATGCAGTCCAACAGCATCTAGTAGAAAACAATATATTTTCACCTGAACAGTAAGGAAACAGCCCCAATAGCAGAGGAACAAAAGATCAACTCCTAATAGACAAAATGGTTTTGGAAAATTGCAAGAGAAAGAAGACCAATTGAATGTAGCACAGATTGACTACCAAAAGACATTCAACTCTCTGCCACGTGACTAGATAATCAAGTGCCTAGAAATAATGGAAATCAATAGAAACATCAGAAGCTTTATGCAAAAATAGATGGCACAATGGAAGACACAGTTGCAGGACAGTGGTGAGAGACAAGAGGTTAATATCAAGAGAGGAATATTTCAAGGAGATTCACTGTCACCACTACTATTTGTCATTGCGCTGTTTCCTCTGTCAATATTACTGAATAACTCAGGTTATGGCTATCAAACATCAAAAACCTCTGCCAGACTATCCCACCTTCTTTACATGGATGATTTGAAGCTCTATGGAGAAACACAATCTGAAATAGAATCGCTGTTCAACACTGTCCTTATATATAGCCAAGATATTTAAACTGTGAATTTGACAAATGTGCCAAACTCACTATCAAACAAGAAAAAATAGTGAACACTGAAGGAATCAACATGTCCCATGGGATAACATTAAGAGTCTGGATGAAGATGGTTACTACAAATACATGGATATCCTTCAAGTTGACAGTATCAAGCATACTGAAGTCAAGAAAAATATTAGAAGTGGCCGAAGAAGGTGGAGTCTCCTCGCTGACGGACTGTAGATCATAACTCTCTGTGGCTATGGTCCGTGCTCTTTCGTTGGAGAGCCCTGATCATTACAATTAGGAGCTGAAGCTGCCTTGGAGGGCTGGTGGAGTAAGGGGAAGCTGCAAGCCAGGTTGAGGGGAGCTGCATCTCCCACCCTGGGCTTGGTCTTTTTCCCCCCGAAGACGACTGCAGCGGTGGTTTAAAATGGCCACCCCGAAGAGGAGGACTCATCTGGATTAAGATTTGTGCAGGAGGGAGAAAGAGGTGGATAACATCTGAACCGGGACAACTAGGCAATACAACTAAACAAAAGTACCCCGGGATTAAGGTAACATGGAATTTTTACAAAAAGAAAAGTGAGTGGCGAAATTACAAAGGGACAGGAAAAAAAATGTTTTTGACAGCTAAGCGGGGCTTTGAACCGGGAAAGAAAGAAGCTGGAACTAAAGATTTAATTAAATTGGACTAAAATATTTTGGGAATAAACAGGCATAAAATAAAGCTGGACTTAAGATTGTCAAAAAATAATAATAATAAAGTTTACAAATTGGAGACTGGACTGTGCTGGAATATTGAGGTTCGAAAAACCCTAAATAAAAAAATAGGGGGAAAAGGTGAAGACTTTGTATAATGGAGAGTGCCACCTTTTGACAAAAACTTGAGCTCAAACAAAAGGGAAAGCATCCTGTTTCTGAATGAACTTGTGTGGATATAACATTAAAGAAATATTGAAACAAAGTAAGAATCTTAGAAAGTGGAAGCAGAACTAAAATAAAGAAAAAAGCAAGGAAAGACTGACTGTGGGATTGATTGATGTTTTTGGGATAGACCCTGGGCTGGAATAACTGAGAACTTTAGAAAATTGAAAGAAGAAAGAAGGAAAGTAAAAGTGTTTTTTTTTTTTTTTGTGGACTTTAACGATCATAAAATATAAGAGTAATGATGATATCTCTTTGGGAATTAAAAATGGAACTTAAAAATATGAGAGAATTACTACAGGAAAGAGGCGAATCACTTTGCTCTGTGTTAGAAAAAATGGAACTGGCGATTGAAGAACAAGAAGAAAGAGCTTCAGAGGAGGAGGAGTCGACTCAAGGAGAAGACATTTTAAATAGACAATTAACACAAAGAACACTACAAAGAAGTGGGGAAAGACGGAAGGTTAAAAAGTTGAGATTTAAGAAGGCAATCAAAAAGGGGAATACCTGTGAAGTTGGGAAAGGCAGAAAGACCCAGCAGAAGAGGGGAAAGGAAGATATTAAGAAAGAGAGGGATATAAATTGGAATGAGAAAAGATATGGGGAAAAGAGGGGGAGGAGAAGCATTAAGAAACAGGTGCATGAAATAAAGAAATACGGAAATAGTAAAATGTTGAAAATAAATTGTTTTTTCAGAGATAATGGTTGATGAATTAAAAAGGAGATTCTGTAGGGTGACAAGGGGTAATAAGAATATTTCTGCAATTAAAAATATTTAGAAATAGGGTAATATAGATACTGATAACTCTTATTAAAAATCAAGGGGGGAAAATATGCTGCGGAATCCAAATGAAAAGATGTAATGATTATTATTGTAACTTCTTAAAAATAATGGTTTATTGGGAATCAAGATGAAGGAATAAAGATATATTTTAATCATTGAGGTGTCACATTCAAAACAGTAAAAGGGGGGAAACCTAAACTTGTTTTTTTTTTTAGTGTTAAAATTTGTATTAATCTAGAATTTATAAAAAGAATGTGTAATGGAAAGGGAATATGACAGACTAAAGAACCAACTAAATTAATAAGTTAATATAGACTATTAAAAGCAAGGAGAGACATTGGTAACTTTATATCATCATCATCATCATCACCACCACCACTATTATTATTATTATTATTATTATTATTATTATTATTATTATTATCATCATTATCATCATTATCATCATTATCATTATTAGGCAAACACATATTGTTTATCTTTATTTTTAAAATAAATATTAAAGGATTATATTTGAAATAGTTGAAATGAAACAAAAAGATGTTTTGACTGAGATTAATGAAAGAGGCTAGAATTAATGTGTTTGTTTCTCTCCTTATTTGGAAAATTTGGAATGGAAAAGGTAATAATAGAATTAAGTATGCATATATGAATGTATAATTGCTGTCATATTTGTATGTAAAGGTGATGGCTCGGAAATATCTTGTCCACTAAAAAGAGATTTTTGTTTTTAATGTGAAAAACTGAATAAAATTTGTTTAAAAAAAAGAAAGAAAAAGATTAGAGGTGAATACATAAACAGAGTGAAGGATCTTAAAGTCCAAATTCAGTGGAGGAAATACCATCAAGGCAATCAATTCCTGGGCAATTTCAGTCAGCTGGAGTAGAGGATTGGACTCAAGCAGAATCAAAAACAATGGATAGGAAGACAGAAAAAATAAAGACAATGAATCATGTCCTCCTTGCAGTGACATTTACAGACTTTACCTACCAAGGCAAATAGGTGGGCGTGGAATGTTGCAGGTACATTAGAAGAAAAAAGAGGGTTTGGAAAAATATCTGAAGGCAATGAAGAAGATGCACTGAAGTTAGTGTACCAGGAAGGCTTACTGACTACTGGAGAGACCAAACTGGCCTACAAGAAAGACCAAATGAAGAACAGAATGAAGGCATGGGAAGACAAAGCATTACATGGCCACTACATAAAAAAATAGCAGGTAGAACAGATAATAATGAGACCTGACAATGGCTAAGAGCAGGAAAGTTGAAGAAAGAGACGAAGGGACTAATTCTGGCTGCACAAGCCAAGCCTTAAAGACAAAGGCATACAAAGCCAGATGTCAGGGTTCCAGAGCTGCCACCAGAATTGAGAAGATAGCAACAGATAATAAGTGCTGCCTGTGCAAAGAAGCTGAAGAAACAGTGGACCACTCGGTAAGCTGCTGCAAGAAGATCACTCAGACTGACTACGTGATGAGAGCAGAAGGAGCTTGCCATATGCCTTGGTGGTTCAAGACCAGAAGGTGGTGCTATACAATTTATTTCATTTTTTCCTCATTTAAATTTTTTTAATATGCCAGAAAAGCTAATATAAACTTTTTGGGGGCATATCTTTCTTTTATTTCTTGATTTAGGGAGCAAACATCAACTGAGATTTTTCTCTGGAAATAGCAGAAATTTATCAAGCTACTACACCAAAGTAGGAAGTGGATCTATGTTGAGAAAACTCAGAAGGCTTCTGGGAGGAGAGATTTGAAATCCCCTTTCACTCTATAGTTAAGCTGCTACAAGAATCTAATATGTTCTGAAGAATGTCTCTGTAGAACTGAATCAGTGGGAATTTATTTTAGAGATTGTATTTCTTCTAATATTAGTTAAATTCAGAGGTATTTCATATAGAATAAATTGTGATTATCCACTCTTCATTAAACTAAACCTTGTAGTTGAATACTTCATGGACACATCTGCTATCTGAACATCAAAGCCACAGATTGCAAATCAGCATTTTAAGTTGAATGTAACTCCATCTAAGGCAAGATGATTCTTGGATTACCAGTATTTTAAAATAAAATAAGAAAATAACTCTCTGTTTGAACTCATCCAAGAATATACCCAATATTACTAATAATTTAAGATTCTTGATACAACTAATTCTACATTCAAAAGATCTTTCCATTAAACATATTTTGATTTATCTGTTTGCAGAATCCAAATTCTTCTTGCAAATTTAATGTTATAAAAGGCCGATTAATAACAAGATGATCTATAGCAGGGGTGTCAAACTTGCATCATCACAGCAGTGTCAATGATATGTTAGGACTTTCCCCCATCTCTGCTAAACTAGGGGGTGGGGATAGCACGTGACGCATCTGGCCCTCAAGCCACAAGTTTGACATCTCTGATCTAAAGAATTGGTACTGGTTTTGTCTGTGAACTCCAAGAATTTCTCAGGGAAAAAGATCAAATATGTTCCTTTCCAGTGTTTTCCAAATGCATCTCGCATTCTTTATTATTAAATCTCTTTAGCCTTCTACTTTTATTATTCCAGTGCAAGGGATGGTATGTTTCTAAATTAATAAAATTTTGATTTAAGATTGTCCCTATCTTAATCTTTCTAAAACAAGTGATTTAATAAACCAATGTTTTTAATAGGTTTCCCAAAGCCAATTTTATCAAGAAGACAACAAATGAACCAGAGAAATGTGCTGGAAAATCTAGAGTCTGAAACTTTTAAAAAAGCAGAAGGAAAAGGAAGGAAAACGCCAGCGCTCCAGGGAATAGCAAAGATTACTAGAGGATCTGGTGAGAAATTCTTTTGCAAGTTGTGCTGATTTTATGACTTCTTTTTGTACATGTATGGAATTTTCTTTAGATTGATTTCTTGCTTACTTTAGCAAAGAGAAAATACATAGAATATTGTCAGGTTAATTGTAGCTAAAGGACAAAACATGAGCAGGTCCATGTATTAAAGTCCCAGTATGTAAGGAAATCTTATAAAAACAAAGAGAAAGGCAGCAGTGTGTAATTTTGTATCATAGTCATGATTTCCCTGGCATTTCCTGATATAACAGACTATGTTACTTTGGTGATTTGAGGCAGAACTGTAGTAGTTAATACTAGTAGTTATTTCTTTTGGTCAGTGACCAACATATCATTTGGCAGAATTATAAATATGTAATTTTAGATGCAATCGTCCATAGTTATTGTGTTTTGTGGTCATATTTTGAAAAATATAAATACCTCATCAAATAGTATGACCACATCTCTTATAAATTAAATTTAATTAAATGTAAAAAGTTTTCTTAATATAGAAAAATGTACCAGTTTTCAAATGGACTAACTCAGGATGGAGTGAAAGTCTTCTATTTCAACTTGACTGAAAAAAAGGATAAAAAAGGTTTATCTTGAGATAAAAAATATTAGGAGGAAAACTAGGACTCAGAAAGAGGAAAAATAGTGGTTTTCTTTTTTTAAAGCAACATTTATGTCAGATTTTAAACTGGCAACATTCTGTATGCAAAACAAAAAGAATATCTACTGTGGTGCTTGAAGTATAGTATGGCTAGGGCAGGGGTCTGCAACCTTAAATACTCAAAGAGCTATTTGGATCTGTTTTCCATAGAAAAGAAAACACTGGGAATCACAAAACCTTGGTGGGCATGGCCAACTTGACATCACTCACTCCCACCCAGTCACACGATTCCCCCCCAGCCACGCCTACCCAGGTTTTGTGGCTCCCAGTGTTTTCGCTGGGAAACAAGTATATCTCTCTCCCTCTCCTTCTCTCTCTCTCTCTCTCTCTCTCCTTCCCTCCCTCCCTCCCTCCCTCTCATCTCTTTCTCCTTCTCTCCTCTCTCTTTCTCTCTTTGTATCTCTTTTTCTCCATCTCTCTCTTTTTCTCATCTCTCCCTCTCTCTCTCTCATCCCTTTCTGCCCCCCTCTCTCTCTGTTTCTTTCCCTGTCTCATATCTCTCCCACTCTTATCTCTCTTTCTGCATGTCTCATCTCTCTCTCAACTCTCTCCCTCTCCCCCTCCCTCCCTTCCCCCCCTCTCTCATGTGTGTTCCCTCTTGAACTATTTCCAAAAACAGGCAAGGGGTGGGTGTTTTTTATGTCGTTCTTTCTTCTTTGGGTGCTTTTTACCTTATGATTTAAATCAAGAGTCATTTCAGGTTCCCAGATAAATGAAGCTCTTTCATCCCCCTTTGTGGCTTCCTGACAGCTGAACCCACCACTATCTGGACTCACCCCTCAGCCTTCCCTTCCAGTTACTCTTTGCCTGGCCTGAGAAGGGAAAGGCAACGTTGGCAGATGGAGATTTGCTCCATATTCCAGAGCGAAGTGCACCTGTAGTTGCCTCTTCTTCTGGCCCTTGTTACTAGGGGTTAGTGTACTGGGTGGAAAGAAGTATTTCTTTATTTTAAAACTGCTTGTTCTATGTAGATGTATTTGTCATATTAATGTATCTGTTTTATCCTTATATATGTACATTCAACTTTACTTTTATGTACATGTGTGTGTGTTTGTGTATGTGTGTTCAAGTTATAGAGTAAGAAACGTAGTATGAGTATATATATTTTCAAAAGATCCATGCACAGAGGGAAAGCAATTAGCCATTCCTGGAACAGAAAAGTGATAGGCCCCAGTATATGGTAACCCACTTTTTGCGCTGAATATCTTGCAATATCTTATTGCTAAAGCAAAAGTCTGGCTGCATTTTCTTAAACCAGCTTAGAATTAAGCCAGCATTTGTATGAGATAAGTAAGTGCAGACGTGCATATTCTTTTACTGCATTTTTCAAAATATCTCAAACATAAAACAATGATCTATAGAATTTGTTGATCCAAAAATTTAAGATTTATTAATATTTATTTAATATTTAATAATTATTAATTCATCAATTTATATTGCCTGCATTTCTATTATATAGAAACAGAATGCTTTTTCCATCATTGTTGAATCATTATGTTTAAAAAGTGTTCAAGAAATTGGCTATAGACAAATAAATTATAAAAGCTAATTTTCTCTTCAATTCAGAACCACAAAATGTCACAGGACAAAGAAATGGTCCTATTCAGAAGACAAAGAAAAAACTTCAAGAAAAAAAGTACATATCCCAGTCCTCTAAATTAAACATAGGTAGTAAACAGCTAGACCAGGATCTTAAGAAAGGAAATATTCTTATAGCACAGCAGCCCTTGGCTAATTCAATGGATTCTTCTGTTCAGACCACTAATAATTCTTCTGTATCAAATGAATCAAGTAATTCAAATCTTCCACCCATTAGAAACACCCTTATGAAGCCCAAAGAAGATGATTTTTACACGGCACTATGCTCAAATGTGGAAGCATCTGTTGGAATAAATGAAGACACTAAAAACGATAACTTAGCACAAGAATTTCATTCTGTTGATCTTAACAAACCTCCACTTATTGATCAAAGTAGAGGTAGTGCGATATCTTTAACACAAGTGGAACAACATAATTGTGAAACTGGAGTTGGGAATGATGGAAGTAAGGCTGAACTTTCCCAAAGATTTTTACGACAACATGATGTAATAGTGGACTCAGCTATTGAACCACATTCATTAGGACAAAGAAAAGTAAGAGATCCAAAAAAATCTTATTCTCTTGAAGAAAATCTTTTGGAAGAGGCTCATGAAAATGAAATCGAACATTTGGAATTTAATACAAAACATCCACAAGCTGAAAACAGACCAGGAAATGCGGCAGCTGTTGAGGATCCTGGTAACTTAAATTCTCCTGAAGACTGGCAAGGGAGTAATGTCTATGGCAGAGAAAGACAGAGTTTTGAGAGCAATCAAAGATGTTATCCTGGTTTTATTTCTGCTAGATCAACAGCGCAAAGGCCTTCTATGCGTTCTACACTTAATATCCCAAGTACCTTAGTACAAACTTCAAACAGAAGTGACATGGCAAGCAATGTGGATATTGCAACAGGTCCTGTACAAATCCCAGAACTGAATGGAAATCCAAGACTAACTGCTCGCAGACAACTATCTCCCATAAGAATCAGGGATTCCTTTTCAGGTGCTGAAAGTTGCCAATCTTCATCACCCATGGTCAGCCACTTTGATGATAGCAATCTACTCGAGGACAGTCTAAGCAATGGTCTAAGTAGCATATCTCCAAGCATTGCTTCTCATGATGAAGATAACTTTCTGAATTCCCACAGTTCCTCATCATCCACAGATTCTTCTCCTCCATCTCTTTTTCGGACAAACTTCACAGCACATCTTCACATGACTGGTTCTTTACCTGATCAAGTTCCAATTTTCCTGACGGTATCTGATTTACGAAATCAAAGCAACTATATGAGCAATACTACTTCTTGTAATTCAATAAGTACTAAAGAGGTTAATAAAGCTGAAACAGACCCTGAGAAGCTAAAAAAGTTGCAAGAGAGGTGAGTAAAAGCTAGTGGGTGGGGGAACATTGACATGTATTTTATTTAGTGTAAGCCAAAGTATAAACGGGAATCTATTACTTTTGATTTATAATTATTTTAAGCTATTTTATGCTACAATCATTTTTCAATTTCAGAGTTTAAACTGTAAGCTCTAATATGGAGAAATAGGATATTCTGCGTAAGTGATCAGATTTGGAGAAACATTTCTAAAGATTCATATATAATAAACTCTAGATTTTCCAGACCTTGATGCAATGGACTTTGCATTCAACAAAATAGTATTATTAAATATTAAAGAGCCACGGTGGTGCAGTGGTTAGAATGCAGTACTGCAGGCTACTTCTGGCTGATCACTGGCTGCCTGCAATTTGGTAGTTTGGGTCTCACTAGCTCAAAGTTGACTCAGCCTTCCATCTTCCAAGGTTGGTAAAATGAGGACCCAGATTTTTGGGAGCAATATGCTGACTCTGTATACCTCTTAGACAGGGCTGTAAGCACTGTGAAGTAGTATCTAAGTCTAAGTGCTATTGCTATTGTAATATACAACATTGAGTAGGAGTGTTATTACACAAATGATGCAACAATTCAAATGGTGGAATGTGCAATATTTCAATAATCATTCTGGCATATTCTTCAATTTACTGGAGTTTAGGAAATAATGGGTACTCTCCCACTTCACCTCTTTTAGGTTTCACTGAATCACATTCATACAGAGATTTTAAAATAACTGTGTAATCCATAGAAAGTTTTTATTTACAGGAATATTGATTGTGTCAACAGGTTGTTTTCAGCTCCTCTACATGGGTAGATTTTCTCCATGATGATAATCTCTAATCTGATCTTTCACATCTGACAAAGCACATCACCGTTGTAACAAGGCACAATGGTGATGAGAGCATCCATCTTGCTGCTGGTTGTCCTCTTTCATTCTAACTTTCTCCACATTAGAGTGTTCTCCAGGTTGTTGTATATTCAAAATAGGATAACTTGAGCCTGGGCTTTTGTGCCTCAAGTGAGAATTGGACTGATATGTTTGATGATTCATTTCATTGCTGTTTTGGCTGTCCATGGTATGCAGGAGTCTTCATCACCAAAGTCCAAAGGCATCAATACTCTTTGAATCCTGTTTCTTCAGAGTTCAACTTTTGCTTCCATATGGTGCCAGGGTGAATATCGTGATTTGCATTATTCTGATCTTTATAGTTTTAGACACAACAGAGTATTTCAATTAGATTTCCAAGTCTCTACCAAGGGCAAGTGTAAGGCAATTTTTTTTATTACTTGTTCTTGAGTGTTTTGATGGAATATGCAACTAAAGGAGTATGTGTGCTGGGGGGGGGGGCTGTTGGCAGTAGCACTGTGGCTTCTGAGGGAGGAGGTAGCATATTCTAGAGAGTAGGCCAAGACAAGAGATTGTGCAGTCTTGAATTGAGTGGAGGAAGAAAGAAAAGATTCAGAATAACCATACCCTAGAATCTTCCGGGATATATCTATTACAGGGATAAGCAATTACCTTCCCCAAGGTGTCACATGAGAAACTGGGCCTTTTTTGGAAGGCTGCTAACACTGCCACATCTCCATCACCACCATGCCTTCTTCCAGTGATGCTGTCATACACACACCAACACCGTGGGCCAGACAAAGACAGCCCATAGGCCAGATATGGCCCATAGGCTGTAAAATGCCCAGATCTCATCTATAGTTTTGAAGGTTATAGCTTTAGTTTGGTAAGATTCTGTTTATTAGGTATAAGCAAATAAAGAATTGTTAATTGGATCACACTGTATTGTCTTTGAGCTTAGGCCTAATGTCTGTTGATGATTGATCCTAAATGGCAGAAACAAGCCACCACTTCAATAACTCCATTTTAGTTAAGACTGGTCATTGTATCTGTCTTTAGTTTGATCTTTATATTTAATTTTAGTTTCATTTTTTCACTTCACTCCTTAATGTTTATTATTAGACCATGCAAATCTTTTGCATTTTCAGCTATCAGGGTAGTGTCAACACCATAGTGCAAGCAATTGGTTCTTTCCATTTATAACCAAATTCTTTCTTCCAGTCCAGTTTCTTTTAATATACATTTGGCAAATAGGTTGAATAAATAAGAGGATAGAATATAGTCCAGTGACACTTTTTTTCCCAACCTGCACCTATTTTTTTCCACCGTATTATGGCTTCCTGATCTACACGTTAATTTGTCATGAAGTTAATGATATGTTCGTTCCACAGTACATTCCACAGTTTGACATTATCAACAGAATCAAATGAAGTTTGTATAATCAATGAAGTATGTAATAATTCCTTTTTTGTATTATTTAGCTTTTTCAATTCATCATGCATCAGTAATAACACCTCTTGTTCTTTAACTTTTTCTAAAGCCAGCTTGAGCATTTGGTATCTCTTTTCCATATAAACTCTAATTTGCATTGGATGATCCTAAGCATTATTTTGTTAGCATGGAAAATTAAGGATTTTATATAATAGTTTACACACTCTCTTAACTCTTCTTTCTTTTGGGACTGGGATATAGCACCTCTTCCAATCTGTTGGCCACTGTGTTGTTCTTGAACCTATTATGATTTTTTTTCTGTGGCTTATCATGTTTGTGAGTATTCTAGTAGTTCCTGGAGTTTTCAACTTGATAAAGCTTGGAGTTCCAGTGTAATTTCATCTTCTAGTATTAGAGATTCTTTCAAGTAAGGAATATCTTCTCAGGTATCTTGGATAGTGACATCTCTGATGTACAGTGTTTCAGTATATTTCTTCCATCTTAGTTCTATTTCCTTTGAATTGGACCTCCTTTAGAGATCTTTTGGAAAATTATACTTGTTTTTCCATTTCAATGTCTTTACACATGTTGTAATCCTTCTTCTTATCTTCTAAAAGCTGTCTGAAAAGATAGTTGTCTTTATTGGCCTTGGCTTTTCTTCTCTTCTTGGCAATTTCCATAGTTTGTCCTGACATCCTTTTTTGTTTTTTGTTTTTATTTTTGGCAGTTTCTTTTCATATTCATCTTTAACAACTTCTTTAAATAAATTCTGTAATTATTCTGTTCTGTGTCAATGAGATTCAGGACTTCAAAGCAGTTCCTGTTGATCTCCTTGATATAATGGATAAATACTCAAGATAATATTGTGGAAAATGACTGACTTTCTTCTTTCTTAGCTTAACTTGAAAATTCATGTGAACACAATTTCCACAGCCAGCATCTGCTCATATTTTTTATACTATAATTGCGCTCCTCCATCTCCTGTACATTTCTCTATCATGTGATATCCATGTATAGATGTATTATTTTGATTGTTTGAAGATAATGTTACCTATGAAGAAATAGTTGGCATGGCAAAAATTGATACGTCAGTCTCTTGTTTCATTTTGGTTTGCTATGCCATACAATCCAACTACATTTTCCTCTTTCATGGCACTCCAGTCTCCAATTATAAGCAACACCGCTTGCTTGCATAGTCTATTGATTTAAAGCTGAACATCATAAAACTAATCAACCTCCTCTTTTTCTGCATTAATGGTTGAAGCATAAACTTGAATGACTGAAATGTTGGTCACAATGTCTAATCAACATTATTCTGTCATTGATTGCATTGTAATAAAGTGCTGCTCTTGCCTAATTATAAAAGCAATACTTCTTTGTTTTTCATGTCCTGAGTAATAAAAAAGTGTAACCTAAATGAAAGAATCAAATCCCAATCCATCTCGATTCATTAATGCCTATTTGATGTCAATTTGCACTCATTCATCTTTCACTATATTGAGTTTTTCCTGTGTTAGTGCTTCTTAAATTCCCTGTTCCTGCTGTAATTCTGTCTTTGCAGGTACATATTTTCTTTTCCTAAATGGAAACTTGATGTCTCAAAGGTTTAATCTAACCACATCATAAGCACCATTAGTACTCTGAAAGATCCTCAGCTTTTCCCGAGTAGCAGATTGAGTGCCATCCAATCTGAGGAACCCATCATATACCATTATATCATCAGGCATTTTATATATTATATCCATATGGGTTTCTTTGTAAAAATATTTTTTGTTAAAAAAAGTGATTTACTATTGTCTTCTCTCATGCATTATGAATTGATGCCTTTCCTATTGTCACTAAAGTGATCATCTGCTTCTAGCACCTTTCCATTTTTAAAAATAAGATTGAGCTAAACCATGTGAATTTCATTAGAAATCCTAACATCCATTTTCAAAAACAAACTGGGAAAAATAAAATCATAATTGAGAAACTCTTTGAAAACTATTCTCAACATACCATCTGTAAGTGTGGGCAACTAATGATTCTAAAATAGAGTGAACTTTTTAAAGCAGTTTAATGATGAATGTAAATAACAAAATATAAGCACTGTGGTAGCACAGTGGTTAGAATGCAGTATTGCAGGTTAATTCTGCTAACTGTCGATTGCCAGGAGTTCAGCAGTTCAAGGCTCACTGGTTCAAGGCTAACTCGGCCTTCCATCTTTCCAAGGTCAGTAAAATGAGGGCCCAGATTGTTGGGGACAATATGCTCTGTAAACTGCTTAGAGAGAGCTGTAAAGCACTGTGAAGCAGTATGTAAGTCTAAGTGCTATTGCTATTGCTATTACTACAAACAATTCTGGATTTCTGCAAGTATTTTTGTTATGTATTTTTGTTCTGTATTATAATAAATACAGAATTTATAATAAATTTTAATATTAAAGTCCTTCATATTTAAAGTTCCTTTGTAGTGTGTAATAATTTTTTATCATTGACAAAGGATTGTCAAATTTTTGTCTGTTACACCAAAAGCGATTATGCAGTCATGCTGCTTTGAGGATAATGCCAGCACTGTTAACTGTTAATAGTTTGTCAATACCAGATTATAAAGTCGTGTGCAAGAATTTGAATTCCAGAAGCTCTTCTTCAAGCAGAATGGCAAAGCAGGAGCAGGGACAAGATAGGAAATTTAGCTGACTAAGCTGTGTATTGGTTGGTGTGTTGGTTGGCTGGCTGGCTGGCTGGCTGGCTGGCTGGCTTGCTTTTAGTTCTCAAGCCATGCCAATCCCATTTAATTAATGGGGTTATATGTGGCATCATTATTCTTTCTCCATTCCTCTATTATCACAGACATGAATAAAATTGTAGATATTTTTAAAGGAATTTGGACTATTTATGCATAATATTCCTGACTGCTTTTTCTATAGTCATAGATGGGTGCAGTAAATACCAGTTTCTAGGACAATAATGAAAGCTATTATATTTTGATCGTATTAATAAAGTTTTTGAAAGCATCTAGCTGATCATGGTATAATGATCTGAAGTAGATGGGCTGTTGTGGGAAACGTGCTCTAAGTAAGGAACCAAAGCATTTGGAGAAAGTTACAATAAAGTATTCTTGATTGGCATACCCAGGTACACTCCTCACTGGACTCCAAAGCCCACAAGATTACGCACTTTCTGAAAACGATGCATAGGACTTAAAAAGCAATATAAATTATAACATGACCTTTACAGCAGCAATATAAAGTCTAATACATGGAGTAAAAACTTTAAAAATAAATAGTATCTGCTATTGTGCCCATATATTCTTTCCCTTCACAACTTGTTTTTTTGCTATCCGTCTCCTACCCTTCCGGGTCCTCAGGCAGTTTATGTTTGCCTTCTCTAATATGCCCTTCTAATTCATGTGTGTAAGGTAGAGTGTTACTTGTCCCATGGATCTTTCACTTAATGTAGCAAGGTTCTTAAATTTTTTATGAACATGAAATCTTTTAATCAAAACTATTTAGCAATTAACATGTCTAATAAATCCAAATGACTGATATTTTTACAAAATATAAGGCTTCTTTTATAGTTAAGATGCAGAACTAGAAGGAAACCAAAGAAGTTTTATATTTAAAAACACGGGAGATAATTTTGTGAATTAGTTAAAAAATGATCAACAAAATCAGAATTCCATATATTTTCTGAATAACAAAAGTGTAAACAGAAACATTTATTTACAGAGCTCTATTCTGTCCTAATTTCATTAAGAAGAAAGTCATAAAATAATTTATATATTTAGGTATATAAATCTTATTTTTTAAAAAGACAACCTAATTTATTAAAGAGTAGGTTGTGCTTCATGGACCTCTTTCTAAAGAGTTCTACTTTTTCTCGAAAGTGCTTAGTATGCAACTAGCTTGAACAAATTCCCATTAATAGCACAACATACGTATTAACTTGTATGATACTCTTCATATCTTTCTCTGAAGTATTGCCCAAAGTTGGCTAATTTGAAAAATGTTGAAATGTTTGTTTTAAATGGAACTTCTTTCAGGTATGAAATTGAAATAGTTGGGGATAACTTTTTATCAGAATTTGGCATGAAATATTCTCTTTCTCTGATGAAGAAGTAAAAGAGAAAAAAATTCTGCTGCTCTCTGGCCTCTTCAGAGGCATCAATATTATAACTTGCCAAAAATAAGTAGAATTTGAATAAAAAACAAGTTACCTTCTGAGAGATCCTTGGTACTTTGAGCTTGATTGTTTTCTTGCAGATGTTTCATTATCCAAACTAGATAACACAATCAGTGATAGCACCAATGTCAATGTAATTATCAGAGGGCACCAAGGACTCCTCATTTCAACCATTACCTACCTTCAAATATTCTCTTTTAAACAAAACTTACAGATTGCTAAATAACAGAGTTGGAAGGGACCTTTTAATCTAAGCAGATCAAGCAACCAACTCCCTTAACAAATTTGTTGCTCTTCTCTGCATTCTTTCTAGAATCTCAATATCTTTTGTATCGTGGTAACCAATACTGGATGCAGTATTCCAAGTCTGGTCTTATCAGTGCAATATAAAGCAGTCCTAGCACTTCATGTGTCCTTGGTATTATCCCTCTGTTGATGCAGCTTAGGCCTGGCTGTTTTGGAAGCTGCAGCAAATTGCTGGGTCATATTTAAGGGATTGTCCACTAGGACTTCTAGATCTCTCTCACAGTTACTGCTGTTGAGCCAGGTACCCCCTATTCCATGCTGTGCATTTGGTTTAATAAGAATTAAGCTTGTCATATTTGACTCTCTAGTTCTCTAGTTTTTGAGAAACAAAGTTGTCTGTGAACTTGATTTGAAGCCCGAAAAAAAGACATTATTACTTTTGTAATGTTGTATTATAATTAAATTGAGTATATTCAGCATGTAAGAGAGAATTAAAAAGTAAGGAATTAATTGCTTCTTCCCACTGCTCCTTAATTTTGATAATTCTCAAACCTATTATAGGTATTTTTAAATGTCATTCTTCCAGATTTTGGATTCAAATTTTACAACATTAAAAAATTACTTATATTTCCAGTCTCCTGGCAGAAGACCCTGAAGAAGAGGGAGATCAGTGTCGGATATGCCAAATTGCAGGAGGATCTGTAACCAATCCTCTGCTAGAACCTTGTGGATGTGGAGGAAGTCTTCGATTTGTCCATCAGGAATGTCTAAAGTCATGGTTAAAGGCTAAAATAAAATCAGGTATGGTTACATGTTCAAATAATGAACAAATATTAGCATAAACATTTTAGAAGTTTCGTTGTGTTATTGAATAGCTCAACCACTGGCATCAAGATAAAGAAAACCAGTTAATACTGCTTATCACCTTCCTACATCTGTAATGGAACAATCTTATTTTAAATTTACACACACACACACTAAAATGTATATGTGTATGTGTCATTATCATCATTTTAGCCATTATCTATCGACTGGTAGGATGAAATAAACACACACATCTATCTATCTGTCTATCTATCTATCTATCTATCTATCTATCTATCTATCTATCTATCGGATGGAAATTGTATATGTGTGTTTGTATGTGTGTATATTTACACTATATGTATATGTATATATGTATGGATTATATGTATATTCAAACTAAAGAAAAAATGAAGCAAGAACATGCAAGGTATGTATTAGAGTTACACACATATAAAAATATTCCACATAAGCAATTTCAATATATTTTAACAATATATCACTATAATTATGGTTAATCTTAACTAGGTATAAATTAGCTACAGATGATTTTGATTTTATTCTTAATTGATTGGTTAGTCCAAACTTAGACTGCAGGTTAAGTTCAATGTGAATGCTTAAGTAAGCCTGTTTCAAGCACCTCAACTAATTATTTTTGGTGCACACACTTTCCATTATTGAACTTAACTTGTCTACTGTATTTATCTGAAAGGAAAATGTTCTGAATTTTAGACCGTTCTGTAATTTCCAAAGTCCATTTATAAAATTAATTAATGGACCTGAAATGTATGATTTCACGTTACCATGCTTGATAAATAAATGATCTAAACTCACAGTAATCTATTTTTTTAAATATCTGCAGTTTTTGACATCTGCAATCTACCTTTTGTTCACCCAATTTCCCAGCACTCTTCAATATTCTTATCATATTTATTTATTTAATTTATTTATTTAATATTGCCGCCTATTCGCCCATGGTGACTCAAGGCAGCTTACACAATGTAAAACATATTTAAAACAAAAAAATAAAAATAAAACCCCAAAAACTATCAGAAAGAATCAAATAAATTACAAAGTACAATAGAACAAAATCTGGAAAAAATGAAAAAAATAAAAAATCACCCCCCAACTCCCACCCCCTGCTCTGACAACAGCAGATCACACTAGCCATTTGATGGGCTCCATCCCTCTCTGGGTTCCCCAGGCCCGTTGGCAAAACCAGGTCTTCAGTGCCTTCCAAAAGAGTGCCAGAGTGGGGGCCATTCTAATTTGTGGGGGAATGATATTCCAGAGGGAGGGAGCCACCACAAAGAAGGCCCTTCTTCTGGGTCCCACCAGGTATATATACCTCAGGGATGAGATCTGCAACATTCCCTGCCTCTCTGCTCTAATGGGTCGGGTAGATGTGACCGGCAAGAGACGTTTCCTCAGATAACCCGGTCCCAAGCCATGAAGTGCTTTAAAGGTGACAGCCAGCACCTTGAATTGCATCTGGAAGCAAATCTGTAACCAATGTAGCTCCTGCAGGAGAGGTGACACATGTGCACACCTGGGTCTGCACAAAACCATGCAGGCCGCTGCAATTTGCACCAACTGGAGCTTCTGATGCTCTTCAAGGGCAGCCCCATGTAGAGTGCATTGCAATAATCAAGAGGAGAAGTGACCAGTGCATGAGTGACTGTGAGTAGGGACCTTTGGTTCAGGAAAGGCGTAACTGGTGCGCAACGTGGAGTTGCACAAAGGCCCTCCTGGCCACGACATCCACCTGCTCTTTGAGCAGGAGTCATGAGTCCAGGAAAACCCCTAGATTATGCACAGGGTCTGTTTGGGGTAGTGCCACTCTATCCAAAACCAAAGGTGGCAATTCTCCCTGAGCCAACGAACCCCAAATTCAGAACCACTCGGTCTTGCAAGGGTTTAGTTTCAACCCATTGCTCTGTATCCAATCTCTAATAGCTCCAGGCACTGCGAGAGGGAGGACACAGCAACACTTAACTCACCATGGGCCGAAACATACAGCTGAGTATCATCAGCATATTGGTGATATCTCAGTCCATGGTGATGATTATCTCACCCAGCGGCTTCATATAAATGTTGAACAGGAGCAAAGAGAGTAACGAGCCCTGCAGAACCCTGTAAAGCAGTGGGCGAGGGCTGGATCTCTCCCTTCCTATTAACACTGACTAAGAGTGGCCACAGAGGAAGGAAGTGAACCAAGCCTCCCACTCCCATCCCCTGAAGCCACCCCAGAGAATCCTATGGTCAATGGTTTTGAAAGCTGCCAAGAGGTCAAGTAGAGCAAGGATGGATGCACTACCCCCATCCCGCTTCCACCAGAGATCATCTAAAAGTGCGACCAATGCCATTTCTATCCCAAATCCAGGCCTGAATCCTGACTGGTAGGGGTCGAGATAATCTGGTTCATCCAGAAACCTCTGCAGATGCTGTGCAACCACCTTCTCAACAACCTTCCCCAAAAAGAAAGATTACAGACAAGTTTGAAATTATCCAACTGGGTGGAGTCCAGCGATGGCTTCTTAAGAAGAGGACAGACCACAGCCTCCTTAAATTTCTGGGGCACCGTCCCCTCCTGTAGAGAAGCATTAATCACTGCCAGCATCCACCCACCTGTCCTTTCCTGGGACCTTAAAGAGGGTCGCTGGGCGATTATCTGCAGATGCAATTAGTGTGAAGTATTTACACTTCACCACATGAATTGACACAAAGTAGGCCTTAGTATCAGCTCTTACCCATGTTTGATCGAGTTCATCTCCTGTCTTCCACCAGCGGCGCTCTAGACGTCTCCTCATGCGTTTCGTCCCTCTCAGTTCCTCTGTATACCATGGGGCACAGAGAGGTCTATGGGTGAGGAGAGGTCACAAGAGTGAAATCCTATCCAGAGCCTCAGTCATCTTCCTATTCCAAACAATGACTAAGAGTTCAGCTGGACTGTATAATAGATCTGCAGTTATAACCCCCAGCTCCTTCTGGAACCCATCTGGGTCCATTAGTCGATAGGGCGGGCGGACCAATCTAATAGGTCCTGTCTCCCTGCAGGGGGGTGCAGCTTTTGAGAAACTCATTGTGATCTGACCATGACAAGGGGACCAAGGACAGGTCCAACAATTCCAGGCCACATAGACACTGCTCTGACAAGAACACCAAATCGGGAATGTGATTACTATTACTAGTTGAGCTCTAGATAATCTGGGACAATCCCCTGGAAGTCATGGTTTCCATGAAATCTTGGGCTACCTCCACCCCCACCCCCAGAGAAGGCAGGTTGAAATCCCCCAGAACTATAAGCCTGGGGAATTCCACTGCCAGACTTGTGGCGATGTCCAGGAGCCCAGCTAGGGAAGCTGCTATGCAGCAGGGAGGCTGATACAGCAGCAGTAATCCCACCTGATCCCTTGAGCCCAATCTAAGAACAAGGGTCTCATAACCGGGGACTTGTTAAACAGTGCCCCTGGAGGCTACTAGAGATTCTCTTCTAACAACAGCCACACCTCCTCCCCGGCCCTGAGGTCTAGACTGATGCCATGCTCGATAACCCACTGGGCACATTTCTACAAGGGGAACGCCTCCTTCTGGGCCCAGCCAGGTCTCAGTTATACAAGCCAGATCAGCCTTCTCTTCGAGGATCAAATCGGCAATAAGGCTAGCCTTATTGCAGGCTGATCTCACATTTAAAAGTAGCAGTCTAAGACCAGGGCCACCACAGATCTGCTGACCAAGAAAATGAGGTGAGTGCAGTGGGACAGAACACGGGATTTGTACTAAACACTGAGGTCGCATTCCCCATGCCTGCCCTCTCCCTTGTCTCCTGTATCTCCAGTGTGATTGTTCTCTTCCTTTTTATTATTTTTTCCTTTATATTATTTTCTTCACAGCAAAAATAAACAAGTGCACAGCAGAGAACTCTGCATCCATTCCTCCAATTTCCCAGAAATCCTAGAGATCTCTTTCATCCTTAGGAATCAAAAGCAAGCTCACAGTGTTCTGTTGTAAATGTTTGCTCAAATTATTGAATAAGAAAGCAAAGCATATGCTTACTGGCTTGTAGGGGCAGTGCTACAACTTTATATGGCATTATGACATAAACAAGTCTGCTATGTAGCAGGGGCATGTGTGTCCATAAGGAAAAGAAACTCAAAATGGATGGATGGATGGATGGCCCTCAAATTAGAGGGATTTATGTTATAGAAGGATATGTGTATATAAGTAAATAAAATCTATAACCCATGGATACTAAGAGAATGGAAGTATTTCTCAAAGAAACAGAAATCCCTACTTTTTGGATAATATTTACTAATAATATAATTCCTTCTATCTATATGTTTCTTGTAATTCACAGATATAAGAACATACTAAGGAAAGCTAGAAGCTCTCAGTTTTTATAGCATGTAGCTATTGTGGGGTTTGTGTTTCACATATGGAATTACATATGCTGAGAATTGTTTATATAGCTGAGGTGATCTTTAGATAAGATTCTCACCTCCATTTTTGCATTACATATATGCCTCTATTCCCTCCTTTTTTGTTTTTTTGTTTTGTTTTATTTTAGTGCAGTAGCTGCATTGTTTTGCACACATTTGAATAGTTAACTGGAACCCTTTTTATTGCAATCATTTTGTTCTTCTTCAATAAATTTCTATCTATTTTTTTCATTTTGTTTTCTTGGAAAACAACGAGTAAAAAGAAAACTGAGGGTTGCAGGTACCTGTTTCAGACTTCACATATTGGGATTCTACTAAGCAATTTTTTATATATGCTCAAAATGTGCAATAAATTGCCTCTGATACAAAAGCATTATATTTCCCTATTAATAAAAGTAAGAATCAATTTGGTCAGCATCAACCAATGCCGCTTCATTAAAGGATGTGGAACGATGGATGTCATCTTTGCAGCCCATCAGCTCATAGAGAAACATCATGAAAAGAGGCAACCAGTATACATGGCATTCCTAGACCTGGAGGAGGCATTTGATCGTGTCCCACACCAACTGATCTGGTATGCCCCCTGGGATCATAGAATACCTGAACCATTCATTGACTGGGTCAAAATGCTATACAAGAACACTAGCAACCAAGTGCGATGCCCAGCCAGCCTTTCCAATAGATTCCCAGTGACGATTGGGATACATCAAGGCTCTGCACTTTTGTTTATACTGGTCATGGATACCATCACACATGACCTGCAGCAGGACGCACTCTGGCCTATGCTCTATGCTGATGATACTATGCTTACTTGCACCAGAGGCGAACTACAACAGCAAGTTCAAACACGTCTCAACCATTTTGGGCTCCGGCTCAACATCAAGAAAACTGAGTACTTAGAGACCGTCACCAGCCCTGAAATGCTTCAAATCAATGGAGAAAACCTAAAGAAGATGGACATTTTTCAGTATCTGGGATCCCACCTGCAAGGCAGCGGTGATATCAATGGCGAGATGAGAGCAAGGGTGAATGCAGCCTGGATGCATTGGCAAGAACCCACTGGTGAATGACAACCTGTCTTAAATCTAAGATTTACAAGACAACCATCTGTCCTGTGTCACTGTATGTCACTGAATGCTGGGCAGCAGCAACAGGGAACAAAAGCTATCTCCATGCCATGGAAATGTGAATACTCTGTTTGATAGCAGGCATCTTCCTTCTTGACCACATCACAAATGACACCATTTGACAACATTTTGGACACCAATTATAGAGAAGATGAGAGAAGGCTGGTTCCACTGGTATGGACATGTCCTGAGAGCAGCACCTCCCACCATAGCTAAGATTGGCTATCAATTAGAAGTCAATGGCCAGCAACCTTACAGGCACCCAAACCAGAAATGACAAGACACCATCAACAAAGATATGCAAGCCACAGGCCTGTGCCCTGGAGATGGAGCTGACCGTGCAAAGTGGTGTTCAATGATCCGAAAAGCAGATCTTGCACTTGCAGGGACACACTTGGAAGAATAAGAATCAATTTGGTGTAGTGGTTAAGACATTAGATTAGAAACTGGGAGACCAAGAGTTCTAGTCCCACCTTGGGCATAAAGCCACCTGGATAACCTGGGACAAGTTGTTTTCTCAGTCTAGGAAGCAGACAATGGCAAATCAGTTCCAAAATCTTGCCAAGAAAGGGACCTGCCCAAGTAGCTCCAATCATTTGAAGGTACAGATACGCATTATCTGTGCATTTCAAGTATGTCTCAGCTTCCCAGAGTTACTTTGTGGTAAGATAATTTTTATAAATAAATAAACGTCTTGTAGACCATAAAAATGGATATCAATATGTTCAGTAAACAAAGTGCCAATTCTTTAATGTGATTGTGACTACAAAATGTACATACAGCTATGAAACTGATCAAATATGTGATATAATAATTAGAGAGTATATTAAACTATTTAATCTCCAGTAAATATATCTTATACATAAGATCGCAAAAAATGTTTGTGTTCATTAGGTGCTGAGCTTGGTGCAGTGAAAACCTGTGAACTGTGTAAGCAGACTCTCACTGTAGATCTAGATGATTTTAATGTGAATGATTACTACAGGAATCACCAACAGTCTCGGGTAAGAAATCAGCCACTCTGGTAAATCCTTCAATTTATTGAAGAAAGCAAATATCTTTGATTATCTTCCTTGATAAAAACTATATGAAACTAGAGATTTTACCTATACTTAGAAATCCGAACTTTGTATCTTTTAATCTTCTTGGTTATTGCTGTTATTTGCTGCTTTATTATTTCCAGTGCTTCTGTAATCTTCCTTGTTTCTAAATGGTATTTCTTGATTAGGCATTCTTTGGTCTTCTTGTTCTTCACTTTTTTCCATCTGTTCTAACTAATTTATAACTGATCTCATCGTGCTAATCTTATTTTCTAGCCTGAGTGCATTTTGACTTTGGCTTTTATTTATAACAGCATCTGTATGGTTTATTATTGGTTTGTTTCTTATAGTGAGCTGGTGCTTATATTTGTTATTACAGTAGTGGCATCTTTATTGGTTATGCTGTTTCTTTGGAACAAACTTTAATGCAGACAACCTTATCCTATTGATCGTGCTGTTCTACATGCTCAATTATCCTTTGTTCAATTCTACTTTAGTTATAATTAATTACTACTTTGCTCTTTCTGGAGTAATGGAGTGGTGTTCCTTATAGCTTTCAGACGTGCTGCCTCAAAAGATAATTTATGTGAAATTAAATTGCTCTCTAGACATCAATTGAGATTGTGGCTACTGTTATATCCTCTCTGCTGCATGATGATCTCCCTGCCTGGTAGGCTCCATTTCTGAGGGCAATGAAGTTTTCCAATTTTATTGGTCTTCTCTGTGGATGGTTCTGAGGCTATTTGCTACCGTGACAGCCATGAGTGTAACCCAGGTCATCCTGCGGCCAGTATGGAGCATTGGATACTACCTGTTTTCAGTTTGGGGCAGTGGCAATTGATCAGGAATTGGAAGAACTATCTGTGGTTCCCATGTCATGGTCAAATCATGCCCTGATAACGAAGAGATTTTTTTTATATTGTTCCCCACTGCAGGAAGACAGGACCTATTTCATTGGTCCACTGATGGCAACAGAGGGGTTGATATAGATTCCATAGGAAGCTGTGGCTTATTCAGAATAACAGAGTTGGAAGAGACCTTGAAGGTCTTCTAGTTCAACCTCCTGTTCAGGCAGTAAACCCTATAGCATTTCAGAAAAATAGTTGTCTAATCTCTTCTTTAAAACTTCCAGTTTTGAAGACAAGTTGTTGTACTGCTTAATTGTTCTAACTATCAGGAAATTTCTTCTTAATTATAGTTTTCTCCTTGATTATTTTCCAACCATTGCTTCTGTCTTCAGGTGCTTTGGAAAATAGCTTGAATCCCTCTTCTTTGTGACAACCCCTGAGATATTGGAATACTGCTGTCATGTCACTCCATTCCTTCTTTTCATTAAACTAGACAACCATTTTTTAAATATTTTAGTCTTCAGTCCCCTAATTATCTTTCTTGCTCTTTCTTCACTCTTTCTAGAGTCTTATTTTTTTTTTCCATCATGGCAACCAAAATTGGATGCAATATTCCAAATATGGTCTTATCAAGGCATTATAAAGTGGTATTAACACTTCACATGATCTTGATTCTATCCCTCCATTAATGCAGCTTTTTGGCTGCATTAACAGGCTTTGGGGGCTTTTTTGATAGCTGCTGCCCCCTGCTGACTTATATTTAAATGGTGTCCACTAGGACTCCGAGATCCTTCTCACAGTTACTGCTCCATGTACTGTAGATGAAGTTCCATTGAGGACTACATATTGATTGTGGTTGGTCAGCCAGATACAAATCCATCTGGTGGTGATGCTGTCTTACCCACATTTTTTCTATCTTATCAAGTAGTAGATTATGGTCTACTTTATCAAAAACCTTAGGAAGGAAATTATATCCACAGCATTCCTCTGGTCCACTAATTTTGTCACTTTGTCAAAGAATGCAATAAGATTAGTCTGGCATGATCTGTTTTGACAAACCCATGTGGGCTTTTGTTTATGACTTTGTTTGCCTTTAGGTGTTCACTGATTCATTGCTTGATTATCTTTCCCAGAACCTTCCAAGTTATTGAGATCAGGCTGACAGATCTGTTGTTTCCTGGATCTATTATTTTTTCTTTTGTTGAAGATAGGAACTATATCAGCTCTTTTCCAGTCTTCTGGTAGTTCCCTAATGCTCCAGGATCTTTGAAAGATATAGTTCAGTAGTTCTGAGATCATGTCTGCCAGTTTCTTCAGAACATTGGGATGTAATCCATCTGGTTCTGGTGATTGATGGGATGAAACTCACAAATGGAACACAGAGCTAGAGGGATTTAAATTATTTAAAAGAAATAGACCAAATAAATGAGGAGGTGGAGTTCCATTATATATAAGAAATAACTACATCTCTACAGAAATAGAGCACTACAATGATGAAAATTATCTTGAATGCATTTGGGTCAATATTAAAGGGGGGGAAATAACGTTGCCATAGGTCTACTATAGGCCACCCAATCAAGCAGAGGAAATAGATGAACTTTTTGCTAGTCAGCTAACTAAGGTATGTAGGAAGCATATTACAATAGCAATGGGGGATTTCAATTACCCTGATATCAACTGGGAGACAAACTCTGCACCAGGTGGAAGATCCAACAGGTTCATACAAACCTAGCAGACAACTTTGTTTCCCAAAAAGTAAGAAAGGGAACAAGGGGATCAGCCATATTGGACTTAATTCTCACTAACAGAGATGAAATGATAGAAGGTGTCAGAGCTACAGGAACCTTGGGGGCAAGTAATCACACAATACTGGAATTCAACATTATGCAAGCACAAGTAGTAGAACAAAGTCAAACTAGAGTGTTAAGAGAGCTAATTTCAATAAACTTAGAGCTTGGGAAGGATTCCATGGATGAGAATCCTCAAGGGGAAAACAACTCAAGAAGCTTGGGAAATTTTGAAAAGTGAGATGAAAAAAGCCCAGTCTAGCACAATATCAATGAAGAAGAAAAATAACAGCTTTCAAAAGAAACCAGCATGGCTGCATAAAGACAATTTGAAAGACAAAAAGGAACTGGCAGATGTGATCTCAGAATTACTGAATTATATCTTTCAAAGATCCTAGTGCACTGGAGAATTGCCAGACGACTGGAAAAGAACTGATGTAGTTCCCATCTTCAAAAAGGGGAAGAAATAGATCCAGGAAACAACAGAGCTATCAGCCTGACCTCAATACCAGGGAAGATTCTGGAAAAGATAATCAATCAACTAATCAGCGAACACCTAGAAGCAAACAAAGTAATAACCAAAAGCCAAAATGGGTTTGTTACAGATCATGTCAGACTAATTGCATTCTTTGACAAAGTGACAAAATTAGTTGATGAGAAGAATGCTGTCAATATAATTTACTTGGACTTCAGTAAGGCATTTGATAAAGTAGACCATAACCTACTACTAGATAAAGTAGAAAAATGTGGATTAGACAGCATTATCACCAGATGGATTCGTAACTTGCTAACCAACCACACTCAACGTTTAGTCCTCAATGGAACTGCATCTACATGGAGGGAAGTATGCAGTGGGGTACCTCAAGGCTCTGCCCCGTGTTCTTCAACATCATCAATGACTTGGACAAGGGGATAGATGGGGAACTTATCAAATTTGCTGATGACACCAAGCTGGCAGGAATAACCAACACTCCAGAAGATAGGCTTAAGATATAGAAGGATCTTGACAGATTTGAACATTGGGCGCTATCTAACAAAATGAAATTCAATGGTGAAAAAAGTAAGGTTCTACATTTAAGCAAGAAAAATCAAATGTACAGGTACAGTATATGTGGCATCTTGCTCAATTGTAGTGACTGTGAAAGGGATCTCGGAGTCCTAATGAACAACCATTTAAATATGAGACAGCAGTGTGCAGCAGCTGCCAAAAAAGCCAACACAGTTCTAGGCTGTATAAGCAGAGGGATAGAATCAAGATCATGTGAAGTGTTAATACCACTTTATAATGTCTTGATAAGGCCACACTTGGAATACTGCATCCAGTTTTGGTCTCCTGATGTAAAAAAGAGGTTGAGACTCTAGAAAGAGTACAGAGAAGAGCAACAAGGATGATTAGGGGACTGGAAGCTCAAACATATGAAGAACGGTTGCAGGAACTGGGTATCTAGTCTAATGAAAAGAAGGACTAGGGGAGACATGATAGCAGCATTACAATATCTCAGGGGTTGCCACAAAGAAGTGGGAGTCAAGCTATTCTTCAAAGCACCTGAGGGCAGGACAAGAAGCAGTGGATGGAAACTAATCAAGGAGAGAAGCAACTTCGATCTAAGGAGAAATTTCCTGACAATTAGAACAATTAATCAGTGGAACAACTTGCCTCCAGAAACTGTGAATGCTCCAACTCTGAAAGTTTTTAGGAAAAGATTGGATAACCATTTGTCTGAAGTAGTGTAGGGTTCCCTGCCTAAGCAGAGAGTTGGACTAGCAGACCTCCAAGGTTCTTCCAATTGTCCTATTCTATTCTATTCTATTCTATTCTATTCTATTCTATTCTATTCTATTCTATTCTATTCTATTCTATTCTATTCTATTCTATTTGAACTCATCTCGGGTGGAATACCAATAGCAATAGCATTTAGACTTATATACCGCTTCACAGTGCTTTCCAGTCCTCTCTAAATGGTTTACAGTCAGCATATTGCCACCAACAATCTGGGTCCTCATATCAACCTTGGAAGGATGGGAGGCTGAATCAACCTTGAGCCAGTGAGACTTGAACTGGCAAACTGCTGGCAGCTGGTAATCAACAGAAGCAGGCTGCAGTACTGCATTCTAACCAATGCGCTACATGGCTCTTAAAAGTGCTCATTTACCATTTTCTTGCCTATTCTTAATGGTTTGCTGCATGATCCTATTGTAGTCTTGATTGTCACCTGGAATAAGAAGGCAGGGAAGGCACACGTGCATCCTTCCTTTTCTCACACATTGTGATTTATAAAAAAGTTGAGGGATCAAAAGGATTGAAAGATGCCTGGAGTGCCTGCTGGAAATTGATGAAGATTGTGGGAAGTGATGGTACTAGCAAGCTATTTCCCTTTTGTGGAAGACGGGATGAAGGGATTTGTACTAATTTATCATGTATTGAAGTGAAATATTGAAGTTATTCAGGCATTTGGGTCTTGTCCAGAATGCTAGTTGAGTAAGATAGTTCGCAATTCCCAATAGACATCTTAGAGGCATTTTAATGTACCTGGAAGGGCAGTTGTCTGGAAAATCTCATTAAGATAAGTTAGAAAAGAATACTGGATCTGGAATTTTAAAACTGATGGTTTATCTTACTGTTTACAAATCCTATTCTAATTGTATAGTTATTTTTCATGAAATCATTTCTTCCTTCCTCACAAAATAAAATCCTCATATCATTTTCCATAATGATAGAAAATATTTAAAAAACCATCGAGTAGAAAGGATTTAAAGTTTTTAGACATATTAATGCATCTTGTGCTTTATTTGGCCAAAAGATAACAGAAATATGCTCAGTTACGAGAAAATTATTTGTTGTTTCATAATGTCCTTTTAACATATAGGCCCAGGATGAGCTGATGAACTCAGGCCTTTACCTTGTACTGCTGCTTCATCTATACGAGCAAAGGTTTGCAGAACTCATGAGATTAAACTACAATCAAGCCTCCAGAGATAGGGTAATAGCCAGAATAATATCTATTTTTTTCTTTCTGCTTACATAGGAAGATTTGCACTTCTTTTGTGTCAATCACATCTATCCAACGTAGCCTAGGAATCTCAGAGTTCCCTCCCTGTCATTACTGGATTAAATGAGTATAGGTAAATAGGAACACATCTCTCTCTTTTAAAAAACAAACAACATTTTTTTATAGAACATGCAGTGCATTTAATTTATTATTCCATCTTCCTTTCATACAAATCAAGCCAATGATGCTCCTGTCTTCTACTTTCTCCAAAACTACAATGCTGAAAGACAGTGTCAAAGTCACCCACCTAAGGGAGAACTAGAACATAGTCTACTTGTTTCAAGGCCAGATTTTGACCACATTAACCTGGCTTTCATATTTCTTTACAATATATGGTTTTAATATGGTGCATATTATTTTATATTTTTGTATAATGTACATTTGTGTTTACATCTTTTATAATATACAGTTGCTTTTAATTAGAAAATTTATCACATTTGTGAAATTTTGCTGTTTTAGAAAAGTACAAAAAGTAATTGTACATATAATTAAACTTCATTCAGTATTAATACCTAACTTATCACAAATGTCCATCATACCTTGCATGGACCAACAGTACTCATTCAACAAAATACTGTTGTATTTAGAATAAAATGAATATTTCAGATACCTCAACAATATCCATTGAGATATTAGAAATTCATACCTCATTTGTGATATCAGTTGTTAAATATCCAAGTTTGGAAGACCATGTTGTATCCTCTAGGCATGTATTAGGACATAAGCTTTTATCCAGTCGCAAATCATGTTTTTTAAAAATTCCAATAAACTGGACAAAATTGTTACAGTATCTTAATTTAAATGGTTACAATACTTAAAATTTTAGTACTATGCTTTCTCCATTTATTTTAGATTGGTTCTATCTTTTAAAAGACTTTTTCCAAGTTATCTCTGTATTATTAAAGCATTGGAAAATCATATTTCTGTTTATTATTAATAGAGATGTATATTAATCTTTTTTTCTCTTTCCCTAGCTCTCAAGGCAACCTAGAACAGAGGAAAACCAAAGTAGGTTTATATAGGTTTACAGCAAGATGCATGCTATTTAATAGTTCCCAAGTATCTTATACATTATTTCGTACAGTGCCTAAAAATTCTTAATTATGTTTACTATTTACTTGTGGCATCAGTATGATAAATTCTTCTAGCATCAAATCAGACAGCAAAAATAAACCTTATATCTTATGTGACTTTCAGTTTTTTTCAATCTGTTGAAGATCTCTATTGAGAGTAGAAGAAAATAATGGGATTCTGAAGCTCTTTCCATTTAGAAAGATTAAGATTAAGAAATACAACCAATATTGCATTTCCTAATGTGTTTTTTACAAAAACAATCAGTGCAGTGACCAGAGTATTGTTAAGATTGATTTTTTTTTTTGTTTCAGAAATTATATAGATGGTAGCATTGGTTTAAAATTTTATGAAATTCCTAATCTCTCAGGTATTCAATTTTACAAAACACGTGGACAAATATAGTTTTGGATGAGCGCAACTATTGATGTAATAAACCAGATTTTAAAACCATTTCATTAAAAACATGTGTAGTAACATAATGCAAAACCAGCTATAATAAAAGTTGTTCTGTTCTTATTTCTTTATGATCTAAGTCAGGGAGTCCCCAACAGTGGTGAGATTCGTTTTTTTTTTGTACTGTTGGGCTCTTTTATTGGGTTCTGCTGGGTGTGGCTTGGTGGGCGTGGCAGGGGAAGGATACTGTAAAATTTCCAGTCAGAGATGGTATTTGCCGGTTCTCCGAACTACTCAAAATTTCCGCTACCAGTTCTCCAGAACTGCTCAGAACCTACTGAATACCACCTCTGGGCCCCAGCTTCTGGGCCATGGCTTATTACTGGGCTGCAGCATGTTCAGAACTGGGCTATGGAAGCAGTGGGCAGGCAAGAAAGTTCGTGCAGGTCCATTTGCGTGCACAGTGGTTGGGCAATTGCACATGTACAGCTCAATTTGCTTGAGCAGGGTGTGAGTGTGCAAGCAGTGGGGGTGTGCATGTCCACCACTTGTGCAAATGAACACACACACTCATTCGCTGCTTGCATGGAACGATCCCCTCTTCCCCCTGACAAACCAGAAAGGTTGGAGATTGCTGATCTAAGTCAATGTATAATTTGCATTATTATTGAAGCAACAAGTGCTGAATGATACATTTTTATGGCACCTTTTTTTTGCCATTATTCAGCATTAATTTATTCTTTCAGCAACAGAAAGACTGGTGAACAATTAGATTGATCAACAGAGTGTCCTAAAACAGAACTTCAAGACAATAAGTCATCAGTTTTTTGGCAATCTGCTCACCTCTTCCAGAAGCAGTCAGCTGAATATTGCAGTATGAAAGTTACAAGTGCAGCAAGTTTAAGGGATCAGCAACAAATGACATAGATGGAATTGAAGGCAAATATATCTTTATTTTTAAAGTCCCAACAGACATTTGATAGTAATATAATAAATAATAAACCTTGAAGCATTAATTTGATGAGCTAAAGTCTTTATCAGATGCAAGCATGGTTGCATCTACAATAATATTGCATAGCGAAATCAAAGAAATGAAATGAAAGAAGTGACAATTTTATGTGACACTTGAATGTATGGAAGATAATCAAAGTGAGGTTTTGTAACAACAGAAATTATTAGCATGGATATTTTGAGTCTCTTATAATTAATTAACACTTGTAGGGCGATAGAACTCATCTTTATTCCCAACTCAGCTTGTGTCTTCCCTGGAAGTTCTGTCTTTGAAGAATGGGAGTTTAAGATTAATTGTATTGGAATTCAGTGTGCTTTAGTATCAGAATGTTTCATTTTATGGTTTTCTTCCCTTTTGGTTAGCAATTGACCTGTTTTTGCCTACTATATTTAGGTAACACAAGAACTTTGCTAATACATTATCACATGCATCAACTTTCTCCAATTTGTTTGGACTTGAATTCTGATGCCCCCCCCCCCCCCCCCCCCCGCCTGGGACGCCAAGAATCAATAGTTTAATTATTATTTGATGGACTTACAGCTATATGGGTTCTTGTAATACAGTGCAAATAATTGGTTAAGAGAGGCAGTATGGAATAGCACTTAAGGCCCTAGGGTAGAAATCAGAAGACTGTGAGTTCTAGTCCTGCCTTAGGTACAAAGCCAGGGGGGTGACTTGAGCCAGTCACTCTCTCTCTTAGCCCTAGGAAAGAGCCAATGATAAATCACACTTAGAAAACTTGCCAAGAACACTGCAGTTCACTGACTTGGAGAGACTAAAAACATATTGTTTAAGAAATACCAAGGAGATTTGTCTACACCCTGAACTTCAGAATAACGGACTTGGGAGGAACCTTAGAGGTCTTCTAGTCCAACTCTCTGCACAAGCAGGAGACCCCATGCCATGCTGGACAAAAGGATGTCCAAGCTTTTTAAAAACCACCAGTGAAAAGAGCACCCACTACTTCTGAAGGCAAGTCATTCCACTGGTTAATTGTTCTATCAGGAAGTTTTTCCTAAGTTGGTTCTCTCCTTGATTAGCTTTCATACATTTCTTTTTCTGTCTTGTGGTGCTTTGATAAATAGGTCGACCCTTTTTCTTTGTGGCAGCTCTCAAATATTGGAACACTGCTATCATATTACCCAGTCCTTCTTTTCATGAGACAAGATACACCCAATTGCTGCAACTGTTCTTCATGTTTTAGTCTCCAGTCCTCTAATCATCATTGTTGCTCTTCTTTGCACTCCTTCAGAGTCTCAACATCTTTTTTATATTGTGGCAATCAAAACTAGATGCAATATTCCAAGTGTGGTCTTATCACAGCATTATAAGGCAGTACTAACATTTCACATCTTGATTTTATCCCTGTTAATGCAGCCTAGGATTGCATTTTTTTTACAACTACAGCATACCGCTGTCTCATATTTAAAGTGATTGTCCACTGAGAATCCAAGATCCTTCCTACAATTACTGTTATTGAGCCAGGTTCCATCTATTCTACCATGTTTTCCCCAAAATAAGACCTGGTCTTATATTTGGGGGGGCTCCAAAATAAACACTAGGGCTTATTTTCAGGGCAACATGATTTCAGGGTGATCAGCCCAACTGGGCACTCCACCCCCCTGCCATACAAACAAGAGGCAGCAAACGTGTGGGCACCAATGGTGTCCAGCAGCAGCTGCAGCCCACTGATCCATTGGTTGGTGCAATCTGGGGCTGCACAGCCCATCTAGCGCAGGCAAGATGGTTCCCTGTCCAAACAACAGACTGAAACATAGATGTGGGGGGAGGGGAGGCAGGCTATCTGGATACACCATTCAGGCTATGGGAAAGCCAAGAGTCAGCGGGCCAAAGGAGGCAGACAGCCAAGGGAGGTTCATCTCCGTGCAACAGCAATGGGAGCAGGCGGAGGCAGATATGTGGGGTGGAAGGCAGGAAATCCTGACATGCTCTGCAGGCCACAGGCAAGCTGAGAGATGTGAAGACGAGCCTCCCATGGCCTCCCATCCACTCCTGCCTAACTCTCGGCTTTTCCATGGCCTGTGTGGCATCTCTGGATCACCTGCTTATATTAGATGCATGCTTAAAAACCAGGCTGGAGTTTATTTTCAGGATAGGTCTTATTTTTTGAGAAACACGACACTTTCTTTGTTTTTTCTTGCCTGAGTGTAAAACCTTGCTTTTCTCATCATTGAATTTCATTATGTTAGATAGGATTCAATGTGCAACTTTGTTGAGATCCTTCTGGATCTTGAGCCTGTCTTCTGGAGTGTTTGGTTAGTTGGGTGTCCGCTTCAAATCTAATGAGTCCTCTTGAATTCCCTCATTTAAATAATTTATGAAGATATGAAGGATTCTGAGCCTAAGACAGAACCTTTGGGTAGCCCACTGCTTACTTCCCTCCATATAGATGTTGTTCGATTAAGGAGTATACATTGAATGCAATTTGCCAGCCAGTTACAAATCCATCTGGTGGTGATGCTGTCTATCCCACATTTTTTCACTCACTAAGAAGTACGATTTGGGCTGCTTTGTCAAATGTCTTACTGAAATCCAAGCAGGTAATCTTCCTTTATGATGAACATAGAAAGCCAGCCAGCATGATCAGTGCAGATCCCTTTTCCTTTCAGTATCAGTTTCATCATCTTATCGATATTGACATGACCTTAGGCACAGTGTGCTGGTATATACCTTAATGAGAAAAGTGTGTGGCTAAAATTGTATTCTTTTCAAAGATGCTGTTACAATGAAGATTGAAAAATTCTTTAGTCAAGCCTGAAAACTCCATAAAATGTTTGTTTACTTATTTATTTATCAAATTTAGAGGCAGCCCCTCTCACTCTGGGTAATGTTCAATTAAATTATAACTCTCCAAATAATAAATTGAAGCCATAGTTCAGAAACTGAAACAACTAGAATGCTTGTGGTTCAGGTTTACTGTTATTAGTAATATATAAGCATTATTAATTAGCTATGGAATCTTAAAATAATCAAGTTCACAAAAATGATTATGTAATGTATTCCATAAGGTTTTAGAAAGCCAGAAATCTCTTTATAGAACAGTGATAATTCCTCTTTTTTTTTTTTGTTACCTACCTTGAAGTAAATTTATTGAAATCAAATTTATGAGTACACAAAGAGTTTACTTTTGTGGCTAGAGACAATATGATATCTTTTTCCCTTTTGGGATGTCAAGGAAGTTTTCTAGTCAACAATATTAAGATATCATAGGATTTATATTACAGGTAGTTCTCAACTTATGACCATAATTGAGACCAGAATCTCAGTTAAGTGAGTTGTGTCTGATTTTATGACCTTTTTCCCCACAGTAGTTAAGCAAACTACTGCAGTTATTCAATGAACATTTTTCTTTTTCTGTGTCTAGATCAAACTTTAAACTGCCAAAATGAAGCCATCTTCTTGTCTCTGTCATTGGCCAGAAATAAGTCATCAGTACATTTCTGGTAGTAGTTATGTATCAGCAGATGGGCTGGACTCTGTGTCTCTCCACATTCACATTGCATGTTGTTATCTGCTAAGAACCTCCACCTGAGCTTATTGATTTTACATTTAGGCACTCCAAGTCTCAACTTGTTCAGGGTCCTTCAGGTAATATAAGGGAAGTCAGATCCTTCAGCCATATTATGCACCATTTAGCAAATTTGTCATCCCCATTGACTTACCTTGTTGGCAGCTACTATGTTTCCTGAAAAATAAGACTGGGCCTTATTTTCTTTTGGGTCCCAAAATAAGCACTAGGGCTTATTTTCAGGGGGTGTCATATTTTTCCCATGTATGGAAGGCCCACTTCAACTTGCCCACACCAATTTACCTCAGGACCTCAGAAGCCAGGTTACCCATGCCCCAACACCTGTCTCACCTCATGGTGGTGGCTCTAGCAGCCCTGTTCAGCAGGACCTTGCATGGTCATTGGTCAACTTCTGCTTGCTCATGGCCACAATGGATCAGGAGGCTGAGTGATCTGTTGGTGCCATGGCTGCGAGGTGAGATGGGGTGGAGCTACATCCCCGTACCAGTTTACCTCAGTGCCCCTGCAGTCAGGCCATCCACGTCCCAACACCTGCCTTGCCTTGTGACATGGCACCAGCATATCACTCGGCATCCTGTTCCATTATGGCTGTGAGCAAGCAGAAGTGGGCCGTGGCTACGTGGACTCCTGCTGCACATGAATTGCTGATTCTACCACTGTCAGGCAGATATTGGGGCATGGATTGCCTGGCTGTAAGGGCCCTGAGTTAAGCAAGTGTGGGGTGTGTGGAGCAGTTCTACACACACCCTGCCTCATCTCATGGCTGCGGCACCACAACCAACCAGATAGAATGGGCTGGCAGCTGGCTGCGTAGGCTCTTAAGTATGGCTTATTTTGGGGGCAGGGCTTATATTAGGTGCACATGTAAAAACATGCTAGGGCTTGTTTTTGGGATAGGTCTTATTTTCAGGAAAATAGGGTAGCTGGGAAGATTGCAAATGGTGATCATATGACCCTGGGATGCTGCAACTATCAAATGCCACTTGCCAAGTGCCCAAATTTTGATGTCATGATCATGGGATCATACTATGGTCATAAATGCAAGGGCCAGTCATCGCTGTTTTCAATGCTCTTGTAACTTTGAATGGTTGCTAAACAAATGTTTGTAATTGGATCAATCTCTTTATACTTCCTGAATACTTCCTGCATCAAAATGGTGGGAAACTATAGCACTAGGTTTCAGTAATCAAGGGTTCTGCAGCTATTAAAACGGAGTTTGATGCAGTCCTAGCCTAATTGATATATAAAACTGAACTTTTGCCCCACACTCCAGCATCACCCCCTTGCCCACAGGAAATCAGAATAATATTCAATCTTGCTTGCTACTTAGTTGCATCTTAATAAAGGTGTTGCAGTGCTGTTTCTTTCACATCTTTTCATTTGGCAATACTTATGCACATTTACCCAGAATACATTCTTAGTTGTTCAGAGTTTTTTATTCACTAGGGTGTTTCAGCTACTGCCGAGTTACTTTTGGTATTTCTACCAGGGTATTTCTAAACAAGGCTTATGTCAGGCAATTATCCTGCTTTGTATTAGAATTGAATTGTATTAGAGTTCCAGATGACATGATCTCTCATCTGCATCCTTCCTATGTTTTTCAATTACTGTAGAAAATTAATTTCTATTTAAGTGATTATGTACATAGGGATGCTACTGTGTTAGACGGCAAACTTATTATAAAGATATTAGGAAGAAAATAACATCTGATTTTCTAGGTTTCAATTCATGGAAGATGTTACAATTTTTCTAGTTATTAGAATCATTGCTCTTAAATGACAATATCTATATCATAAATGAAGGCAAATATAGGCGTCCCAGAATAATGTTGTAGGATCCAATCTGGATTGGTCACCGGGACCAAAAGTTTAGTCTGAGTTTTCAGACTTGTGCTAAAGCCCATCTTCAAGGAATTTCTATCAGAATGTGTTCTTTGGTTTATTCTATGTGTAGTATTTATGTGATGCCAGGTTGTGTGTGGCTTTTTATTTATTGATTGGAGTATTGATGGCCAGCTATAAAATCATTGGTTGCTGTTTCCTTGTGCTGCCAAGTCCTTGGCTCCTAGTTGCCTGATAAAACTGTTGATAAATCAGTCTTTCTATTGACTGCCTACGGGCTTCAATCATTTCCCTGGCTATCTATGCACCTACACGGCCAACAATCTTAGTTGCTGCTCTTCTCCCACAACCTCCCACCTCCAAGTGATCTTTGCAGTGCATCTTTATAATGCATCATGCGTTATAAAGTCGCTTGGAGGTGGGAGATACTTCTAATATAATCAACTGAAACCCCTGCATGGGTTGCCCCTGTGATTAAATAGGACAGATGGGGAGGAACCATCCAACTGTAAGTATACAATAGCAGTCAGACGAGGTACTCATTGGTAGCCTCACATTGCAATGAACAAGGATATACAATCAATTTTGCAACTATTAAGATTGTTGGCTAAGCAGGTAAAAGTTAGTCAGGTAAATAATTAAAGCCTGGGAAAGGGGCCCCTTCTCAGTCAACAGGAGTGCTGATTTATCACCAGCTTAACAGGCTTAGGAGCCAAGGACTTGGCAACACAAGAAAACAACAGCTAATGACTTAATAGCTGTCCATCAACACCCCAATTAACAAATAAAAAGCCACACACAACTAGGCATCACATAAATACTATGCATAGAAGTCCAAAGCACACATTCCGGTAGAGAGAGGTTCCCTGAGGATAGGCTCCAGCATGAGTCCAGAAGCTCGGAAGAGTAACCTCTGGTTCCGATGATGCTATAATATCTATAATGATTATTACCTATAGTAAGTAGGGGTCACATATTTAAAATAGTGTTTTCAGGTATAAATCCATAAATCACTAAAATGCATTGTGCTGTTTGCAGAGTTTCAATATTTTATAGCAAGGAGACACTGTAGTTCATTAGCTTTTGTATGGTCAACATCTGACATAAATTTATCTTTATAGTCTCCTTGAAGGTAATAAATTAAATAAAATAGTCAGTTATCTGGAGAAATGTTTTATGTATATGCCAAGACACGCATCCTTTATTATATGACATTTCAGAAAAACACCCAATATATTCCGAGATTGAATACTTGGAATATTTTCTTGATTTTTGACAAACTAATTTGAATGTGTAACATTCATTTATATACAGTATGTTATTCCAGTTGTTATTTTGGGATTCCAGGTTATTTTAGTTTAACTACTAATAATGAAGTGATAAATGTTTATAGATGCATAAACACAATTTTATCACTAATTTAGGAAGATTTTGTTAATACTAATGTGTATTATTTTTTAGTTAATTGTCAATCTAATTTTTTCTGAATTGTCATTTTATTTTTTTGTATGGTCAGTATCACAAGCTACATATTTTCACTAGTTACATTAAACAATTCTAGCTAATTGAGGCCTTTGCAAATACAAATAAATTCAAATGCAGTAGTGATTCTGACACTTCTTTTTGGATGGTCCCAGTTTGTCACAGTGGAACTAAGTACCTTTACTTGGCCTGTTCAGTTTATTTTGATCCACTATGTCACTGCTTAGAATTAAGCTACAATTTATTACATTGTTTAAAACTTCACTGTGTTCTTCAACAACAGTATTCAGTAAAGTTTAAAATTGTTGCTGTTTTATGAGAAAAAAGAGTCTAAAATTTATTTATTTATTTATTTACTGCAGATCCAACCAATTCTGCCAACAGTGGCTAAGAACTGTCAAGCTGGATCTGAAGAAGTAAATTCCCTTTAGAAATCTGACAGAACTCTCATCTACATCCTTCCACTTCCTCCCGTTGATAACACCAGGCCAAAATGAATATGTGCACCATTCATATTCAGTGTCACCTTTTTAAATTTAAAGCCTTCTAAGGGCCTAAGCCTTCTAGGGTTGTTTGTGTGGTTCGGTTCTTGTCTTAAGTTGTATTACTAACTTTTTTTCAATACCATGGGTTATTAACAGCAACTTGCAAAGTCTAGTATCTCCTACTGATTAGCTAGCAACTGCTACTCAATCAACAAAGACTACTGTTTTGTTTGTGGGTACTTTTTAATTGAAGTTTAACTATCTTCTGGATGTTAGGTACCTGTTTTTCTACCCTTTCTTTAGAAGCCAGTCTGCATAATTTTGATATGGATCAGAGGCTTCTTGAAGATCCATGATCACTTGTATATTAAAATAAAGTTGTATGCCCCATCTTATAAAACAATCTGTGAGACACAGATTTAAATGAATTGATGTACTATTGTATGAACATCTTGCCTATGATTTGCATGGCACAAGAACCTAATAAAATACACAATCTTTTGTTCTCTTTCCAGTCACCCCCCTTACCCTTTTTTGCAGATTAGATAGTTTGCTTTTTATATATAATACCACTGTTATACTATCACCCTTTTAGAAAAAGGGTGAAAATCCAATAGGCATTTCCTTCATATGTCTAAGTTTAATATTGATGTAAATTCTCTTTACCTTGAGATATAGTGTTTTTTTTCAAACCTCAGTTATTTTATTTTGCTATACATCATTTGGCGATTTTTTCCTTGGCAAGGATGGTTTCATTTCCATGCTCAGTACATCACATGCCATAAGTTCATGATGGTTTAATGTTAACAATTTTAGCCCAGAAAATTTGCCTCAGTTGGAATCCTTAGAACACCACCACTAATTTTCATGCTGCCACAATAAGCTATATTTAAAGAATTTATTATGTTTCTACACCTAGAGACAGCTTTTGAAAAGTTACATTCCCATAAACTACAAATCGAGGAACATCATTTATAAATGCATAAAGTACTTTTGAAGTGTCCCTATGCCCATAGGAGGGAATCCGAGAACAGTGATAGCTCTTAAAGTACTTTTGTAGTTCAGACATACCATATTGGTTACAGACGCATGAATCCTTTTCAAATAAATGTCATTTCTTTGCTATACTGCATAAACAGTGAATGCCTTCAGTGATCAAGGCGGACGAAACCTTTTAAAGCTGCATTGAATAGCAATTTCTTAAATTTTTAATACATCTTTTTTTGTTTATATATGAGAGTAACAATCAAAACGTTTGCAACTGCATCCCTGAAAAGGAATGCTTTAAATAAACATACCTAAGACTAAATAAGCATGTTTCATAGATACAATCTAAAGTTTCATTGGCATTCTGATTTTCATCTTGCTTTCGAGTTGATGCCCTAGGGTTAACTAATCTGACTATTCTCCTAAAGAGTAAGTTGCGAATCAATTTTAGAGACTATTTTTAGTTCTCTGTTTTTAGCAAGTTTCCCTTTATGCATTTCTCCATATACTATATTTTGACTTGAATTAGCTACCTGCATAATTGAAAAGGGGCAATGTTGCACACTATTATAGATGTTTTGCAATTAAACTGGGATAAATTGTAAAGTTTAGCTAAGTCTAGAATTAAATAATACTGATTTTTTGAAGTTCTGCTTTATAAATTCCCGACACAAAGGATTAACTATCTAATGATTTTGAATTCCAACTTGAGTCCTATTGCAGGGAAAATTTTTAACAATGCTTATTTAAGTCACATAAAATAGAATCTTCCCAATATTAATCAAAGCAAAGATCAGCATTGTAAATACATCCTGTGAGAATAAAATAAACCACAATGGGTAAGAACTGTTTCGATTCTTTATAACTATTGAAAACATGGGGAAAAAAAAACATTTTGCTGAAAATGATGGGAAAGTAAGCTTTATTCAAAATATTTATTTTTTTTAAAAAAGCAATAGCAATCTATTTTAAAATATGCCAGTTTCTCCTTTTTTAGCACCTTTTCACATTATTAAAAACAAATAGGAAATATTTAATCTGAAACATTTTTCCACTATATTCAAACACCTCCATTAATGGCAGGATACTTATCCCCTCCTTTATGGAATTATTTCTAGTTATACTTGATTTACTCTGAAAGCAAATAATAAGAATATAATAAACATAATGGCTACAGTATAGTCATTACGGAGAGAGAAACTAAGGGAATTGCAGCAGCTTCAATAGCTGGGAGAATGAAGAGGCTGATCTTGAAAAGCTTCCCATCCTTTCAGCTCTGCTATTGCACTTACTCCTTGAACACGTTAGCTGGCCTGCCTGGCACAAGAGATGCTTTCAAGACAATTCCCCTTAAACAAAATTGAACGAGCAAGCCAGCGGTTCCTGGGGAAGGAAACTGTGCTTCTTATAAAATACCCATTTCAGTGAACACAGGTGGTCAGTTTCCACAAGATATTTGCGAAAAAATCCTGCAAAGTGATTCTACTTCATCACTAAATGACAATTTTTTTGTGCCCAATGCTACAAATCTTGACCTCTTCTCTAGCATTATTAAGAGGACTGCTTATATGTCTCATCAGTGAGATGAAAAAAACATTGCACATGCTCAAAGGCAACTTTCCCATCTATCTTGATTTATATTATCCCCTGAGGAGAAAAATATTGAGCAAGAGAGCCATAAACATATATAGACACAAATCAAAAAGTTGCCCATGAAACAGTTATGAAGGAAAATGGGAAAGTTGGATTTGCTTTTGAAACATCCCTTACTATTTGTTGGTGTGGAAATGTGTTTGGGTGTCTAAATGTCATAGGTATAGCTTTTTTTACAAACACTTAATATCCAGCTTAAGTGAAAAATTTGTTTTCATATACAATAAATTCCTTAAGTAAGTTGTAAAAATATTTATCCCCACTTCATTGTCACAGTTACCATTCAGAAATACTTAATTAAAAATGAAAACGTAAAATAGAATGGCTCTCACAGGGTCCCTGTTTTAAATGAGGCTCCTTTTATTTATTTCTGTAAATAATTATAATAATTATTATAATAAAAAGCCACTATTCTAAGCAGGTACAGTATTTTTTCATTGGTTCTTAGCATCTGGTATCCAAACCTTAAGTTGCCCAGCAGCCTATATGCTATTCTTAAATAAAAATAAAGGTTTTACTTTTTTCAAATGATTTTAAACTCATCAATTCACAGACCAGTTTTCTGTTCCTGAAACATGGCTGCCCAAACTAGGGGGAGAAATAAAATATTGAGAAGGGCATCCAAATGTCATAATACAAACTATACTTCTGCACGCATATAATATGACATCTCTCTCACATACAAAAGTTTGTGTTGTGCTGGTTATTTTCCGATTGTGATGAACTCAGATTGTGAGCATATCTGAGTTCCAAAATCTGGATGTTATCTTTCTGCCATATCAGGTTTTATACAATGTGCATTATTGTTTCCCATTTGTATTCTTATTACATAGGGCAATTACTCCTTTGGCCACATTGATATTATGCTCAAACATTATTTCATTTGGGGAAATGTAATCCTGCATTACAACCTTCTCATTCTGATTATTCTTCTCTCAGAGATATAAAGATCTGAACACCACACCTTCTGCATATTTTTAATTACAAGGGTTTTTTTAATCAATGAAGAGTAATTACACAATACTTTGGCTATTTTTATGCAGTATTGTATAAAGTATCTAATTACCAAAACATTTCAACATCCTTAAATTGTTTGCCACCCCAAAGCATTCACTTATTATTTTATTTATTAAATTTATTTGCCACCCATAAATTTAATAAAATAAATATATCTACCCTGGTGCTTTTAAAGTTTGTGAACCTTTTCAATATTTATACATAAATATGACCTAAAAAATGATCTGTTCTTCACATATTTATCTAGTTTTAACTAGATAAAGAGAAACCAATTAAATGAGTCAAAACATTATGCAGAAATATTGTATCTTCAAAGGGATTCACCAGCTTTTAAGCACTGCTGTAAATATTTCTGTCATGAAGCTGGCACTTATAAATATAAAAGTTCAATGATGCTGCTTTCAATGGTTTTGGGAAAAGGCTTTCTATGACAATGGATAGCATCATGGCTTAAAAAAGAAAAAATCCCTGGATAGTAGTGGAATGGAAAATCTGGTCTCAACAGGCTCTGAAAAGTAATGGAAGGACATATCAGAGAAAGAAACAGACAGAACAGGATAGGAAGAGCATGATGAAAAGATACAAAAAAATACTTGTTTTGTATAATTATTATTGGAGAGAAAAAATGCTGATATACTAAGTCTCTAAAGAGATGTGAAGAAGCTGTACAGCTTACTAAGAGCTTATAGCTTCCAAAATGAGATTTTCCTTCCAAGAGAGGAACCATCATTTTCTCTGAGTAGGACAAAGGTAAACTCGGATTTCTTACAAAGCTCCTTTTTGTATTTCTCCACATCTCTTTAGTGGGCCGCTGTCCTGCCTTCCAACCCTTCTGATGTGATTCAGCAGTTGCGTTTTGCTCTCCTGAGAGGCTTTTTTTTTTTTTTGAGACTATTCATGACAGGTACTTGTGACCGTCCCATACCTGTTCTACTACCACCCTCCATCCCTACCCCCATTCCCACACTTGAAAGATTCACCATTATTCTTGTTGTTCATTCATCTCCATATCAGATACCAGGATGTTCTTCTCAGCAGATTCACTAGGACTAGCGTTGGTGCGGCTATAGCGAGCACTCTCAAATGTCCCTCGTTCTGAAATCCACCGTCGCTTATACAGATAGAGGGCCACAGCTACCAGTGCACAAAATGCTATTGAGGAAAGGATGACTACAACAATGGTTTTTGTGTTTTCCAGGAAAGCTGCAGTAAAAGGGAAAAGGTTAAGAGGAAAGATCCATTTTTGTAGCTAAACAGTATTCAAAGAAGAGTGAGCAAAATAACTTTGTGTGTAAAAATGACAAATAACAACAACTTGATGAACAGTAAGTGATGAATCACTGAACTTGGGAGATTCCAACCCATTCAGAAATGGTGTATATTTTATCTAAATACATTGTGTATTCATAGATTTGGTCAAACTATTCAAAATAGCCATAATCTGCAATTTTATATAGATGTGCTAAATTCAATTTGTTCAATTATTTCTACTCTTTCTTTCAAAGAATAATAGATAAAATTTAAGGGACTTTCTCTTCAATAGTAAATAATGCTCTATAAACTTTTTACATACAAGGCATCATGGTCGGACTACAAACCCCATGGCAGTAACCATGCAAAATTATAAACCACATGTCTCTCACTGCCCCCACCCCCACCCCCAAAATCTGGAAAGATACCAAAACATCATCTTTGCTAAAGTCAGTGGATTCTTCAGTCCTATTCAAAATAACTAATTCTGATTATACTTCTCAAGTCATTGCTTCTTTCACATCTGAGTCCGAGATGAGGCAGGGTGAAGAATTAAAGATCTATTCCTGACATGCTGTCTGCTTTTGTTACGCTTACCTAATGTAATTCAAGTAGGGGAAATCATTAAGTTGAACAACCTGCTTCAAATACCTGCCATACAGAACATATTTATTTTTAATTAGTTTGTTTTACCTTCTGTTTTTTATTCAATTTGAGGACTCATAGGCAAGGTGTTTACCGCATAATTAGATCAACTCTCACCTTTCAACAATTGTATTAAAAGGTGTGTTGGGTTAGGCAACTGAACTATGTGATAAAAAGGCTAAACATACCTGATTTGGAGATGGAGGTTCCTTTCACTGCCATAGAAAATACAAAGAAATAAATAATGTCAGCTTCCTGTCCCAATATCAGGTAGGTATTGACCTACTTCTCCAATGCTGTTCAAGCTATCCCACTCATATTCTGCTACAGCATCACCTGAGTTGTGATCAAATATGCCTTGACTTCAAACAATATATATCCAATTTAGCCACATATCACAAGGAGGAATTTTACATCTAGTTGAGCCGCTAATTTTTGTCCTCCATCATAATATTAAACAAACTAGAATAATACTTTAATTAATCCAACTTAGAAAAATGTGAACATATGCAAACCTTTCTGGGTACCTACACTGCTTAGTCAAGCAGAATAGAAAATATTATATGCAATCCACTCATTATCTTCCCTTTATCTAGAAAGGGTTTCTCCTTTAACTCTTTCTCATTTGGCCTCCCAAATAATTCCATAAACCTAAAGGAAAAATTTCATTGACTTTTTGAAAAGTGTTTGGTCTATTTATGATTGGAATGTGAAATGAGATAAAGAATTTTATTACAACAAAAACTCCAAAAAGTGGAATATTAAAACATTATAGTAAAGGGATATGTGAAAATATTACCTTGGGACTGATTGGTGGCTTTGAAAAGGAGCAAATTAAATAGAATCGGGGGGAAAAGACTTATAGACATTGACTGTTAAAATTAAATATAAAAGATGCTGGTTGAAATAAACTACTGGATAATCGGATTGGATATAAATATTAAAGAAGAAAAAAAAGTGCACAAAATGAGTGCAATATATAGAAATAAGTTCTGAACTGCAAAGCGTGAAAGAAATTATGAAAGAAAGCTCAGAAATATGAACCATATTGCTCACTAAAGAGAAGTTTTTTAAAAAATATAAAAATAAAAAATGTATTGCAAAAGAAAAGAATTCCATACATCTGCAAAATATTGCAGCTTCTTTCAATTTCTGTTGGTCCAATCAAAGGCCCAAGTCTAACTCAGGGTTAACGCAAACCAACGACAGTTTACAGGAAAATAAAGAACTTTGCCACCCAAATAATTCCTATCTAAACCAATCAGCCTACTGGTTGAAATTCTCCCTGACTCACCAAATTCATCTGCAGATCTTCATTAAAATATTTGCTTTTTCCCCATAAAAACATGTTCAAACCATAAAATGGTATCTGTTATAATTTGCTCTTGCCTTGAAATAGATGGATGGGTAAGAACTTAGGATGGCATGCTTTTTTATGGTATGGAAGGAGTACTGTACATAGTTATTTTCAAAGAGATTATGTGAGGAACGCTTTACTTTTGGTATGGGAAAAAATCAAATTACAAAAGTATAGGAAAATACCAGTTTGGCTTTCTATAATGTAAGCATTGAAAAAAACAAATCTTACTAACCTGGAAAAAATTGTGCTTTATATAGATATTTTAAATGAAAATGGTGAACTTCAAATTAGACAGGAAATACAAATTCAAAGGGTGAACTTAGCTTGGTGGCCACACTTGCAAATACACTCAAGATATGAGAAAGATGTGAAAACATGGGGTTTTTATAAAGAACCAACAGTACTTGATAAGATGTTATTAGGGACAGATGAAAAATTGATTTAAAATATATAATTATTTATTAATCTTAAAATGGAAGATGAACAAGTTAAATAAACAAGGATAGCATGGACAAAAATGTTTGGCTATACTATAGAATTAGATAAATGGCAAAAACGTTGGGATAGGAATTATAAACTGATAATGGCTACTGCATATAAGGGAAATCTTTATAAAATGTTTTATAGGTGGCATTTGCCACCAGCAAGACTAGCAAAAATGTTTAACAATATGTCTGCCAAACGTTGGAAGTGTAATCAAACCCCAGGTTACTTATTATCATATGTGGTAGACATGTATGAAAGCAAGAAAATACTGGACGAAAATACACACATGGTTGGAAAAGATGATTAAGCAGCATATAGATTTGAAACCAGAAATATTTTTGTAAGGTATAATACCAGAAAGCTATGATAAAAGGATATATATTTAATGTTACTGTACTGACTGCAGCAAGAATTGTATTTGCACAATATTGGAAAAATGAGAACACTCCATCAGAGGAAAATATAAAAAATTGGAAAATATTGGATTGTGCAGAGATGGATAGATTGACAATGAAAATAAAAGATAAAGGAGAGTATTAATGTGGAATAGGTTTTTTCAATGGTTAGAGGTAAGAGGTAGAAATTAGATGAAGGAAGAACATCGTTACGTATAAGTTAAACATGAACATTGTTTATAAAAATAAATATGCTAATATAATCAATAGGATTACCAATAAGCTAATATAATGATAAATATGGTTAGAATCATTCTGTTGTACTACTACTATTGCTATCAGTATATATGTTACTATTTCTTTTTTTCTTTTCTTTCATAAAACGGTATGCCCAGACAATACACTATATTATATTATATTAATAAAAAAAGCTTGGACTTAAAAAAAACACCTTGCAGCTCCTGTTTGCATTCTCCAGTACTGTAGTTCAATTTAGGGCCATTAAAAACCTACCCTGATTTTATCTGCACAAACTTGATTTGTTTCCTTACCTCGAGTTGTCTTACAGATGACTCCCATGGTTACATTTGAACAAGAGCCCAATCGCCAGACGCCATTGCTGCTCTGGATCCAATAGCAGCTATTTGGGCTGATCATGCTTGGTCCTGTATCATGTTGTCCCCAGTTAGAATAGTTTACAGCTGTGTTGTCATGCCAAACAAGTGTACCCCCTGTGCAGAAGGGAGAAACATGCTTTGTGTGGTTAGTAAAAGAGCTATTCTAGATTACATGAGAATCTCCTCAGATCATCAAATGTTGTAAAGCAGCAAAAAGCTAGTCATTAAAGCATTTGATTAGGATTGAGGATGGGGGGACACAGATTTGAGTCCACCAGCCACACCCAAACTCTTTTTGTCAGCCCAACTAAGTTCACAGGTTTATTTTTGTGGGAGAAAAAGTGAAGAGAGATCTCATGTAAACCACCTATGGAGAAAGGATAGGATATAAAGCTAATAAGTACATTGTCAACGTATGCTTTCAGAAAATGACTCTCTAGCATAGCACATTGCTGCAAATCAATTTCACAGTTACCAAAGTTGTCTAAGTGCTGAACAGTAATACAGTCCCTCAATTCTGTTTGATTTACCTTTGGGATTAAAGGACATCCCCAGCCATACTCCTTTGGCTTGGCTCTCATAAACTTGTAGATGTTGCCAAATAAATATATTCTCCATTTCATCTTCAATGGACAGCACCATACCTCCAACTGTGGAGAATAGAAGAGATGCAACAGCCTAAAAAATTATGGAAGAGTTTCCACTTGCCTATGAGAGAGAAGCTTTGCCATAGTTCAGAAGCCCTTAAATTATACAATTCTGTTGAACATTCTCCTCATATGAAGGATATTCACCAGAATAAATGTGCAATAATTTTTACATTTTAAAAAAATTCTAAAATATATTGCATATTCATTCTGGTGAATAACAGCATTTGATAAATTTGATGCAATCTTCTTGTAAGACTGAAGTTTACAAGAAACACAACTTCACATACATGCGCATCTTCTGGGAGTGTCAAAATCTACGAAATGGCAGCATTATAATGTTCTACTCTTTTATCTGAGTGTTTGACATCACAGCAGATACAAAGAGAAGGGATTTTAATCAAGATGACACACTCACCCTCCTGCAGATTTTGATTATTTTTTTTAAATGTCAAACTTATATGCCACCTATCTCATCAAAGCTGACTCTAAGTAGTGTACAAACATTCAAATAAACAATTAAAAAATAGAGACCATAAATTTTAAATACAGTTAAATTGGTCAAGATGGAAAGGAAGGGAGCAACTTATTGGGGTCCAGGGCAGTTGGCACTGGCAGGTCTTCAAGCTCTTTCAGAAGGCTAAAAGGATGAGTACTGATCTCACCTGCAGGAAACAGCATTCCATTAAAATGGCCCTTGTCCATGACCCTGCCAGCTGGAATTCCCTAACTGCAGGGTCTATTGTATTATTCCTGACAGCATGGATGGATGAATCCTCAATTTTCACCACCACCCCATACCACCAAGCAACTGCATATATGCCATTCGTTCGTTCGTTCGTTCGTTCGTTCGTTCGTTCATTCATTCATTCATTCATATTCCACCTTTATTATTTTTTACAAATAATTCAAGATGGCAGACATACTTTCCTCCTTCCATATTCCCCACAACAACCACCCTGTAAGGTGGATTGGGCTGAGAGTGTTCGACTGGCTCAAAGTCATCCAGCTGGCTTTCTTGGCTAATACAGGACTAGAATTCACAGTTTTCCACTTTCTAGTTGGAAGCCACATGGAGTCACTTGGAAACGAGATAGTCGGCAAACAAATTTAATTAATAAATGCATAACGACTTAGCTGTAATCCTTAAAAAGAAATCTTGTTGCCAATTTGACATAATAGAATTGATTGGAGGCCCAGACTGTGCTTCCAAACATCTTCCTCTTTGACCTGGACTGAATCAGAGATTTCCTGATTTGCTTCAAGCTGCGCAATTGTAAGAAACAGATGCAAGAGCCAAGTTCCCTTATAGCCTTAGATTTTTAAATTTTATTCTAATGCAGGTTGACATTGTTGGATTATTCATGCATCCTGCTTTGCATTAAAACAGGGACAAAATAGGAATAAAAAGATTTCTCAGTTTCTTTTCTATTATAACTTTGAATTCCTCTTATCTTCCTTTCTATGTTTCTTGCTGCTGCTTGTCAACAAAAGACAATTTCGGGATACAGGTTTAACTCTTTAGCTCATGCAGATAAACAGTTAAAAAAGAATTGTTGGATAAGAGATGGGCAGCAAATAACTTTCCTAAATAAAATAAATAAATAAATAAAGCTAGAGTTGGATGTAGAGCTGAGCTTTTATGGAAGATACTGGTGCTGAACGCCCTGTTTTTACCTTAACTTGCTCTTTTTAGTTATTATCAACTGCTTATCTGCACTGAATTCCCTTGTAAAGCAACTGAGAAATGCAAACTGTCCAACAAAGGTGCTTTCTCAAGAAGCAAAAGGAGTCCGAACTCGCATAAAAAGGACAAAGACAAATATCCAGCAGTCGCCCAGCTGAAAAGAGGAAGAGGAGGACAAACTGCTGCCTATGGCCTCCGAGATATCCTATCACCCTGAAGAGATCTTTAACAATACTGAGCCTTTATTACATAAATTTATTTAGGATCTGAAACTGGAGTGGGAGAAATCCTTTATTTCAGTAAAAGAAGATTTAGCAGGTATGTAATATTTGAAGAGAATGAATAAACAGTCTAAAGTTTTACCAAAGAAGATATAAGACATTGCTCAGACAAGTACAGGTAGTCCTCAACTAACAACATTTCATTTAGTTCATTTAGTGTCCGTCTGAAGTTACAACAGCACTAAAAAAGTGGCATGACCATTTTTCGCACTTATGACTGTTACAGCTTTCCCATGGTCAGATGATCAAAATCCAGATGTAGCAGTGACCTGTAGCATTTCTGACAAAGTCAATAAGGAAGCCAAATTCATTTAACAACTATGTTACTAACTTAACCACTGCAGTGATTCACTTAACAACTGTGGCAGGGAAGGGTCGTAAAATGGAGCATTTAACAACTGTTTCACTTAGCAACAGAAATGTTGGGCCCAATTGTGGTCATAAATTGAGAACTACCAAGTTCTCAGGCCAATATTTTAAGTACTAAAACCTGTAGCATAAAAATAATTAAGAAAGACGTTATGGATCTTAAAATGCCTCTTGGCAGAATCTGAATATCACAGCAAATGAACGTCTAAATTAAAGGCATCAATGAAAAACGGAACAATTTTATGATAAATGATATAGGAACAAAGTGTAACAATCTCTTTCTAGATCTACATTTGGCTGAAAAGGGCATACAATAGTACAGTACATGCCCAAAGAATTCGAAATTTCAGGCTTGCAAAGTTAAATAAAATCAAGAGTCGTTGTAATTAAATTTCTAAATTAATGTACCAGAGATAAAATTCTTAGGAAGCTCACAGGCTGAGGAAAATGAAGTGGGGAGGAGACAAAGAGATTCATCAAACTTCTACAAAATGTAATTACATTCAAGCCTATAATAGAATTGTTAATAAAAATGGAAAACTGCTATGAATGGAAATGTCCATTGAAACTTTAAAACTACAAAGAACAGAGATAATTTCTATTATTCAGGACTTTCTGGCAGACTTTAGATTCCCACTGACATTGACAAAATGAACAATTTGAACATTAATTATAATTATAAGCTAAGATCCTGCGGGACTTCCAGATAGCAATAGCACTTAGGCTTATATACCGCTTCACAGTGCTTTACATCCCTCTTTAAGTGGTTTACAGAGTCAGCATATTGCCCCCAACAACCTGGATCCTCATTTTACCAACCTGAGAAGGATGGAAAGCTGAGTCAATCTTGAGCCGGTGAGAATCGAACTGCCGAACTGCTGGAAGCTGGCAGTCAGCAGAAGTAGCCTGCAATACCACATTCTAACCACTGCGCCACCATGACTCTAGATTCAGGCAGACAGATAGGTACTAGCCAATCAACCAACACTGTATTAGCAGACAACACCCAAAAGGCAGTGGTGGTGATAGATGAAGCAATGTCAAGTGATATTAACATCAGGAAAAAGGAGTATGAAAAGCTGGAGAACTATCAGGGCCTGAAGGAGGAACTGGATTACACCCCAAGGTTCAGAAGGAATTTGCAGACATAATCTCAGAATTGCTAAACCATATATTTCAAAGATCCTAAAGCACTCCGGACTACCAGATGACATTCCCACCCCCTCCAAAAAAAAATATGGATCCAGGAAACTACAGATCTATCATCCTGACATGATGAACTGGGAAGATTCTGGAAAAGATAAGCATACAACAAATCTGCAAGCACCTAGAAGCCAACAAAGATTTGTCAAAAACAGATCATGCCAGACCAATCTTATTGCATTTTTTACAATGTCACACAATCAGTAGACCAACTAAATTTGTAGATATAATTTACTTTGACTTCAATCAGGCATTTAATAAAGTAGACCACAACCTACCATTTTATAAGATAGAAAAATGTGGGTTAGAGTGCTACAGGGCTAAAATGAGTCTGTCTAAAATGTGACAGTAGAAATAATTAAGCAACACATTTGGCAGCCTCTATTCAGCATAAAAAATATTTAAGTATCCATGCACAAATTACATCTGGAAATTTACATTAGTGGCATCAAGTCCCAATAAGAACCTCAGGCATAGCTTCTCAATATTCACTGAGAAGTTGGGAAGGCATAGGAAGATATAGATGAGGCTGAGGAGCTGGCAATCAAATGAATATTCTTTTATCTTTGGTGAGAATGCAATAAAATATTGGCATTTTGGAAGTATATTCTTAAAAAAATGTTTGACACAAAATAATTATAACCAAATATGCTAGATATCTTTGATGGGAAAAATAAGAAATAGAAAAAAGAATAAGAAATAGTATACATGTCATATCAAAGATGAAAGAATGTCACCTAACCTTTATATTAAAAAAAAGGCAGAGTAAAAAAGAGGGGATAGCTCCTCATCCTCATCTATACCTTTCTACTTATTTGGGGTCATGGGTTCATAAAAAGAAAATGCCACTGGATTTGGACCTCCAATGCTTTAATTATAAGCAACGCTTCCAACAAGTAATAACCAAAACAAACATAGACAAAAATCCTTAATTTTAACAGGATTCACCTTTCTGGCATTTCTTCACAGCTTCTTTCTGACCTAGAATAACTTCCATGTGGAAAGCATAGCAATGGTTTTGGAAAGGAACCCAGGAGGAATCTTCTATTGTTTTAGGACAACTTCCATTGTAGCTCCACTTGTGTGAAGAAAGGGGACCTGAAGTAGAATACTTGGTTAAAAGAAGCTTAGCAAATATTTACATTGGTTTTGTCATTAAAAACAAATGATAAAATGATTTTTTTTCCTGACCCCGTCATTAAAACTCAGGGGATGAAAGAAGAGAGTCCTTATTTCAGTATTCCCTCCTTTATCTGTACAGCTGTCATACAGGTAAATTACCTGTGTTCAACTTGCAGATGGCCCCTTGAAGCTTTGTATTGCAAGTAGCAGTTCGCCATGTTCCATCTATGTCCATGTATGCACACCCTACAAGTTGTTGCGGTTCTCCATCTTGCCAGTTTGTGTAGGAAACACTCTCATCTGTAAACCATTCATAGTTACGTCTCCCCTAAAAAAAGTCAAAATATATAAAGTTTTGCCACACTGGACTAATCAATCTGGATACAAAATATTTGACAGCATACATTTATATAGTTGACTCACTTCTTCATTGGACAAGCCAATCCAGAGTGGAGTATGTAAGCTGTTGACAGCCTGAGTGAGGAAGGCCTGGGTAAATGGTTCCATTACATTTGCTAGACTTCCATTGAGACTCTCACATAATAACACAGCTTCGTGCCATTTGAGCGGCTTCATCAAGACACGGTAAGTGTTGTTAAGATATGAAAGAGTAGAGTTGAGAACAGAAGAGAAGGATGTTGAAGAAGGATTTATAGTAGGGTCTTGAAGGTGGAGGAAGAATTTGAGAGAAAGAAAATAAAAGCTTGGTTATCTTTTACAAATATACCCTAGAGGTATTAACAAAGCAATATTTATTTTATTCAAAATTAGTAGCAATTTGCTGACTATCAAGTAATTTCCATTTTACTAAAATTGGTTATTTTTGTGTTACTTTATTATAATTTCTGTGAAATAGAACTTTAGTTCTTTCTGGAAGTCACTTTAAAAGGATGGTGGAGAGCCAAGATATATTGATAGATACTATTATACCTTCTCATTTAAAACAATTGTATTTAATTCTTAAGTTAGGAAACCTCACTCCTCCTCTATGTAGTTTAACCAAAGCAAATGATAAAGGAGAGAAGAATGTTAACCTCTACTTCTGACCCCTATTAAAGACTGTTTTCTCATTGTTAATAAAAAATGAGGAAGGATGTATTTGCTCCCTATCTTATTTAATGAGTTGGAGTAATGAAAAGTAGATAGAACTCATGCATTAGATACATGTTGCAGAGAGAAACCAAAGGCCATAACACACTGAATAAACGCTCACAAAAGCAGCATTTTCAAAACTAATCGGTTTTAGCAATATACAGTTTACGAGTCTGGAAGCATTTTTAAGACTAATCAATATTATTAGGTATATTCTCTGATGAGAAGCAGCAGGTTTCATGAACATGCATGTAAATGATGAACAAAGTTACTGTCCAAAAAAATCATATGCCTCAAGTTGGCCAGTCTTGAAGATGTAACAAATTCTTGTATCTGTGTTGTTGCCACAGACTAATATAATTCTTCCTCCCTTGTGCACAATAGAAATGAATGCCAACATCCTTGGCACAAGAAATAAAAATTATCACAAACCCTCTATGCTAAGCATAACTGAAGCCAATATTATTTTCTTGCATTATTCCTAACTCTTACCTTTGCTTCTCTGGCATAAAAAAATATGTTTCTCCTCTTGGCAATTCCTATCATCCCAACGGCCTGTAAACAGGGAAGGGAGGCCATGCCACATTACAGCACAGTTGGTCTATGAGAAACAGAACCAGGAAAATCAAACTCAAAATGGATTGAATATGTGCACACTGAGTTGTCCAATTCTTGTCATGATTACTGCAACATGACACATATGAAACTGCTCTTGGAAATTTTTACAAATTTATAGGCAAAGCAGAATAGACAATGGGCTCCAGAAAAACACAAAAACAAGCAACAGACTGAATACTAAACCAAGTTGTGGTTTTCACATAACTTGTTATAACTGAACAATAATCTTATTGTGGAACAAATAAGCATGATAGCTTAGTACACACAATATGCTGATGCAGTAACCTGATTCCTGCAACATATCAAACCACAAACTATCCTATTCATTTTTAATTCATGCTACACAATCCCAACCAAACTGCTATGTCATCGTTGGAACTCATTACCAGTAGTCCTCGACTTAAACCCACAACTGGGCCAGGAATTTTGGTTGCAATTCATTGTGGTAGTTAAGTAAGGTGTCCATATGACCACTTAATTCAACAACTGCAGTCCCAGCACTCTGAGTTCTGGATGTTAAGTAATCACACAGATCATTAAGCAGACAAAGAGAAATAATAGAATAACAGTTGGAAGGAGACTTGGAAGTTTTCAAGTCCAACCCACTGCTCAAAAAGGAAACTTTATACAATTTCAGATAAATGGTTGTCCAATTTCTTCTTAAAAAGCAAGAGCTGCCTGCCAAAAGAGAACAAAAGAAAATTCCTGCACTGAGTTTTACAAATTCAGATCCCAAGATTTTTTTCAGCCCACTACAGGCCTTCCGCTCTTTTCCATGTGCAGAAGGGAACTGTTACACGGGGTTGAACAAAAGGAAGCTCATATCTCTGTTGGATCTTCTTTGAAGAGCCTTTCTACTCTTTAGAAACTTTGCATTTATTAGTTTTTCAGGAATAAAGCTAGCAAGTACAATCTTTCTTACAGTATAAAAGCTGGAAAAAGCATATCTACCCTTTAGAAAGATTACATTTGCTAGATTTCTGGCTGGAAAGGTTGGGAAGAACCTCCGATCTTTGGATATGAGCTTCTTTTCTCCAGCCCAGCGCCAGAGTTCTCTTCTGCATGGTGTGCAGGAGAAACTCTGGCACTGGCTTGGAGAAAAGTTTACATCCCAAAGATCTTCGTTTCTCCATCCTTCCCTGCAGGAGTCTCCCACACACACCCTGCCCCTGCAAAGCAGGGAGAGGAAATCCTTCCACAAGCAGCAGCAGCAGCTTTCTCTGTCAATTTCCACATTGAATTTCTGGTGAAATGAGCAGAGAAAGCTGCAAATGCCAATCATATAATTATAGGATTCTTGACCACCAGTCATAAGTACCAACAGGATGCCAAATGCCTAAAATATGATCACATGATCTTGAGGATAATGGGAGAATCAGAACTTCAAGGACAGATTGGAAGCAATTTTTTCCTGAGTCTCTCATAACTTTGAACACTTATTAAATAGCCAATGGTAGGTTGAAAGTGACCTGTGTTGTAAGATGTGCTGGTAGCATCTTTGAAAAACAGGTGGCTGATTAAACTTAAGTAACAGAATGCTGCCCTAGATACTAGTTTTAACTCTAATTGCAAGTTTTAATATTTTTAAGAGCTCATCTAAAACAAAAAAAACCCCACTTTTATTATATACTTATTTAGAGGGAAGAGAAAAATATTCTCTGAAAATCATGCCAAATGCTTGAAGAGAAATGAAGTGTCATTTGTTTATGAAAACACACAAAAGGCCACTTTAATGATTGACCAACTTCAAAAATTCAGAATTCAAAGCCGCATCCTAGAGATACACAAGGCACAGCCTTTTCTTCTACAGTTTTTGGCAGGGACGCCTGAATAGAAATTGTAATCCCGCTTGACTGAATATGTTTCGTGTACTTTACTTAATCCGGAGTCTTAATGATGCTATTAGCAGCAGAGGTTCAGCTCACCGGCTGATCACTAGTAATGGATGTTCCATATCCAGATGGTTCTCCAGGGGCCCAGTTCACATACTTGACAGTCTCAGATTCTACCCAGAGAAATTCCTTCTTGGAATCATGGAGGCCAATCCATATATCAAAGGTTACATTTGGGAGAAGAGTTGTTATAAAAGCTGCAAGGAAGAAACAAAGGAACTGAAAGTACTTGGCATACGATTCGAGAAAAAATAGTGAATATGTTTTTCTAAATTGAGCTAGGAACTCTAAAGCTGAATCCCATTATTCCCTCTATTAGTGTTTTTCCAGTATAAAATTTGCTGTCCTACCCTGGCTTTGTTACACCTCTGTTTCAGTGCAGTCTTTGATCAACATTCAAGGTAAAGGAGAATTAAAGGCTAACAGATTTTATACATCATGAGCTTCCATTGGATGGTGTCAGAATACTATTTTAATACTGGTACTGCCAAAGACATTAGCTCAGAATTTTCATATTATCTCCTCTGAGTTTATGCCTGGACAATAGCATAAAAAAGACTCATCCTGACACTTTTTAGTATACTGAGCAGTCTTTTAGTAACAATGATACTGCTACAATTATTCTACAATTGTCTTGTTTAGAATATATAATCTGTTAGTGTTGTTATTCAACGGCTAAAATAAATTCAGTATTTATATTTTCAGAGCCTTCTATTCTTTATTACGACATCAGATATTCCTGGAGTGAATTCCACAAAATAAATTCTGCCTTATCAGGAGCACATTTGTTCTAAGCAGAATTCAGAACAGTTTGGGGAAAAGACAGATATCCATATCAAAGGCTACTAACTATGATGCTGATAAGCAAAGAAAGAAACAGATGAATCTCTGGCTATCACACAGTGATTAAAAAGATTGTTTTTTTTCCTTCCTGTGAACTGGAAGATTATTTATCTTACTGTTCCAGAAATTCCAGATTGAAACGGAAACCATTTTCAGAGGGATAGCTGTTACAAACAAGAAAAGCTTGCACTTTTGTTTTAGTTATAATTGAAATCTATAGCCAATCATGATATTATTTCTTTCAGCAGAGATTATGAACTGTATAGTTGCAATATAAATTCTGCCCTTCTAGTATGTGCATGTAAGCTCTCAACACGTGTACAAAAAAACCTTAAATTGTGAGGTCACCACATTAGTTTCACTGTCTCCCCACCCTGACATTTCATTAGGTGAATTTTCTCAAGAAAAATACCTTTGGATAAAACCTACCTTGCTCAAGGTGGTTGGAAATAGTAGCCAATATACCTCCCTGAATTTCACATTTTCGCTTTGCCTCCAGCCAAGTCACTTTTTCTTGATTATAGATCTTAAAGCACTATAAATGGTATTTAACAACAGAGAGAAAGAATAAAAAACAGGGTGTGGAGGAATCTTTTTGATGCATATTTGTTTTACAGAAATTTATTATTGCTCCTCTTATTACTCCTCTCTTTCTCTAAAAATGCTCAAGAGACAAAGTACGCCTTTTCTCCCTGCAACAATCTAGTGAGGTAGTGTAGACCAGCGTCCCTCAACCTTTGGGGCACCAGGGACTGGGTTCATGGATAGTTTTTCCACAGACTGGAGGGGCATGGTTTCACATGCTGCCTGCATCCCATGGGTGTGGCTTCACTTGTTTGTGCAATCCAGTTTCTACCCCTGATGTAGACCAACTAATAATCACTGTCATCAACTGAACCATACTAGGATTTCAGTCAAAAGTCTCATCAACCATAGTTACCATTTTACTGCACTATCTCCTTGATTTATTTATTCTTATATGTTAAACATTAAGTAGGGAAAGGGGAACTCTACTCAGACTTTCTGGAAACTGCCCTGATTCCAGGAATACAGATGTTTGTGAAGAAATGGCTTCAGTATTCTCCACAAAACTTATTTTCTTCTTCTTACATATTCAGCTCAAAGAGGACACACAGACATATATTCCTCTCAAATTGCCCCCATTAATGATTTACAATAGAGTGATCTGAAATACCTTATTAATGAAGGCATGCCAGTCTTGGGCACAGCTGCCAGGAGTTGGTACAGATAGTGATGGCAAGGAGGGCTGCACAGTAGTGATGTTGGTACGCTTGCAAATATAAGGCAGAGCAGTGAGGCATTTCTGGTCACCCCAATCCTCTGCAGAAGATGAAAAAATGATGATGAGCTTTGTTCAAGGGAAACCAGAACACAGTGCTCCTCTCAAATAAATTACTGTGCTAATAAATGGTGCCAAGACTTGGTATTAAAATTCTGGCAGACAAAAACTCAAAATATGAAACTTGGGATGTTTCCTCTCTTACCTGCTGTGTCTGAAAAGCCATGTAGGCCCACACCACTCAAATAAAATATAAATGAAAGGAACTTCATACACATTTCCATATTAATGGTTAATTGTACTCCAGTTGTTAAAAAGAGAATGGAAAGTGGGGAGATAAGAAACTATAGTGCTTTAACAGCAAGGAAATAAGAACAAAGACAGGAAAGAAGTCTACCACTACAAACATTTCTATGAACTTGGCGTATTGAACAAAGTTTCTCCATGTTGGATAAGGATACCAATTTTGACACTTGGCTAATTGGAAAAAAAGCAAGAAAAAAATATTTCAAGCTTTCTATCATGGTTTTTTTTTTAATAAAATCTATTTTTTCTTCATATTTGTTGAAATTGCAGCCTTTTAAAAAACATCTATCTAGAAAGAATGTGATAAAAACTGTAGTTCTACAAGAACTTCAGAAATGTTCATAGCAAAAGAGGTCACCCATGCTGAAGTTTTATATAAGTAATTCAACAGTACTTAGAGTGTGGGGAGAAGGGGAGTAATGATTGAAACGAGCTTCAACTCTCATTATATCTACCATGGGGATGTTTTGCCCATTCATTGAACTCATCAGTCCATGAAATCAAGGACATTAATTGGGCAAATACAGGTAATTGAGTTACAACCATAATTGATTCTAAAGCTTGTGCTGCTAAGTGAGACATTTGTTAAGTGAGTTTGCTCCATTTTAAGACTTTTCTTGCCACAGTTGTTAAATGAATCATTGCATTTGTTAAATTAGTAGCATGTTTATTAAGTGAAACTGGATTCCCCACTGATGTTCCTTGTCAGAAGGTTGCAAAAGCTGATCACATGACTCCAGGACACTGCAACTGTTATAAATATAAACCACTTGCCAAGCATCTGAATTTTTATCCTAGCTGGACAAGATGTTGCAGTGGTTGTGTGAAAAATGGTCACAAGTCCCCTTTTTCAGTAGCATTGGAACTTTGAACAGTCACTAAATGAACTATTGAAAGTCAAGGATTACCTGCACTGGCAGAACCTTTAAAGTCTTAAAGATGGTTTGAAGGCTAGTATTAACTAGCTGCAATGGAAGAACCTTTCTCTGCACCTGGTAAAACTCACTTTGCCTTGAAGACTGATATTCAGTACATCGAGGAAGGAGATATCTATAGCTGAATGTGTTAGAAAGTTCTTGACCCTCCCCTCCATCATAAGTCATATAGACAACTGGTACATTAGAAGAGATTGGACAAGATAGTATTTAATTTTCCTGAGCATCTATGCAGCCAATTTCTTGGGAGTGAAAAATAAGGAACTGAGGGATTGAGGGAAATAGAAATATTTGGAGGACTCCTGTCCACATAGGGGATGCTTCTTGCGGAATACAATTTATCTCACAGGTTCTTAACAAGGAAACTTTCTCAGCCTCCTACATATATTCCCTGGGAAAACTGGCAAAAGGCTGTTCTGTTAACTGATAGAGAAGGAACATTTGGATGGTTAATTGACTGTTGGCTTTTTAGTGATTAATTTTTTAATCAGTTCCTTGCGAGATATGCTCCCAAACTCAATTTTACTTTATGCATTTTAAACTATTATTTATTCAGACAATTACCAGGCTTAGAAGAAAATTGAGGACATCTGTACAATTTTGTTCTGATAAACAAACAAGTCCAGAAGACTGACTGGCAAATGAGCTTAATTTCCCAATAACAATGGATCCTAAAGACTTATTTTGAATCTGCAATCAAATAAACATTTCATACCACCTTGGACTCTCCTAAACATTAGAGAACATTTCTTGCAAGATCAATTTATTATCCTTCTATCTGTTTTACCATACAGCAGGTTTCCATGCTTAGAGTTGACTGAAATAGTTAAGCCATGTTTGACTCTATTGCAAATGTTATAGAAATCTATAGTGTAAATTATGGTTCTTTAAGCAAATCTTTCATAGCACTCAGATAAATTCCTTTGTGTTGCCTATAAAGTAGCACAATTTTGCACAGCTGCATATAGAATGCAGAAACAAATAATGATGCAAGTCAAACTGGTAACTTGTCAGTCACTCCCAGCTTCAGTATGTAATCTTTTGTTGCTTTACGTTCATGTTTGTTTATTACATTATAAAATTTTGTATGAGATAACTGCTAAGGGATCTCACTACTTTTCATTACAGGAAAAAACCTTGCACAAATTCTGCTAAATTGTCTGGCCACCCATCTGGAGCTGGGCCTGCTGCCACAGTCACAATTTGGCTTCCACAAACATCATGGGACTAGTGACATGGGTTTTTGTCATGCACAAAGCACCAACTTCAGGAGAAGTATCAAAACAAAGAAAGCAAAGAAATGTTATGCCAGCGTTCCCCAACCTTTCTAGCTTTGTAGATCGGGTTGGGGGGGCAGGAGTGGGGGGGGGGAGAGGGGATGGTTCTGTGTGAGCAGTGGGCAAGCATGCATTTGCATGAGTGGCAGGTACACATGCCCACCACTCATGGAAATGGAGCACACACTTGCCTGCTGTTTGTGCAACTGGGGATGCTTGCCCATCACTTTCGCGGGCCAGTTCCAAACAGCTCAAGTTCTGGTAGTGGGCTGTGGCCTGAGGGTTGGAGATCCCTGTGTTATGCCATATGCCAACTGGCCAAAGACACAGTAAAGGGACTCAAGAAAGAAATCAATTATCATTTGGGAATGTCTACTACTAACCTCGGCTAGCTGTCATGTACACACATTTCTTTTCTTTGTTGAGAAGCCGTGGTTTACCAGGTGCCCATGAGATGAAATTCAACAGAGAACCATCACACCACCTGGAGGAAGTAAGTGGCACAGAGAGAGGCTTTCATATTTTAAGCAAAGATGAAGCTAAGAAAGAAAAACATTTTTAGACCAGTGACAGGTGTTAATGAAGAACACAGAAAACTCACCGAAACCGTCCATCGTTCTCATAGGTGTTTAATCCAATCCACCAATGTTCCTCCTGACCTCTTGAAAACTGGTCAAGGATTGTATATATTGGCATTAGAAATATCATCGTGAGTAAGAGGGAGAATGAGAATAAGAGAACTAATCATTTCTCTCCAATTCAAACTACCTGTTGTGACTAAAAAATGCCATCCTGGGCCTCTTTCTTTCATTATTCTAGCTTTCGATGAAACATGCCTCAAGTACTATTAAATAATTGTTGACACTGTAACCTTCAATCACAAGTCCACCAATTTCTCTTTTAAGTTTTTAATTCTCTATTATATTTTCAAGGGTTAAAGAACATGCTTTTATATAACCTTACATACATCGCCTTGTATATTCTTGAAGAAAGGCAGAATAAAATATCAACGTAAGTTGACCTGCAAATACATACCAATCTGCCCAGATTCATCCTAAGTAAGGTTTCAATCCTCACATAGCTTACCTATATATGAATCCATAACTGCAGACAGCAAGCTCTCTCATACCAAACCATTTTGTTTTGCCGAGCCCAGTATTTATTTTAAAAAAACTTTATCATCACCAGAGTTTGGCATTCTTCAGATGTTTTGAATTAAAATTTCTACTCAGTTCAGCTAGCTTATTCACTGGTCTGGCTAAGGTTCTCACTGAAGCTATCTAATGTGCACCTGATCTAGAAGGCTAAATTATACACTGTAATAGGATCACTTTATGGATAAGTTACCTGGCCCTTCCATTAGGAAAATGATATTAGTATTAAGATCATCCCAACAGCATGGTCTCATTAGTGCTATGTTCTTTGTAAGTACTTTTAAACATAGAATAAAAATAATTATGTACATTAATCCTTAATCCTTCACCTGAAAATTCCAAAAACTGAATCTGAGAACTTGTATATTCGAAACATATGCTCATTTACCAACTGCATTGGAATATAAAGTTCTATAACATATAAATGGAAAAATAGATTTATTTTTTAACTTAAAATAAAAAGTCAAAATCAAAATTGGCTGTGTTTGAATTAAAAGATGCATACACTCTGAACACTTAAACTTATTGGACTCCATTACATTTATATAGAAAAGGACTGTCAAATCAGCACTTCATTGAAGATGTAGTAAGGATAATGCTTCTTTAAAACATATGTTTCCCCAATATTCTCTATTTACCAAGTTTGGCAAGAAAGTGGTGGATTGTATAAATAAGTGCAACAAAAGCTAATTTTTTTTGGAGGATAATGTTCTTTTGAACTCTAGTACATGGAATTTGGATGATGTAAATGGTTTTTCCACGCTCTTGTTATGGCTAAGACTGATACTGCATCATTGGAAAGATAAAGGTATGGCCTCTTTTAGTCAGTAGATTGAAGACTTGATTACACTTGCTACTTATAAGCAAATTGCTTCTAGATGTAGACTTAAATAGACAACTATAATGAAATATAGGATTCATTTATATGATGACTTAAAATGATAGTTGTATATGTATTAGAAGTACATTGAATAATATTTGCATTAGTTAAGCAAATATGAAGTTGCAACTATTTATTATTATAAGGATACACTGTTTCTTTGTTCTGTTCTTTCAATTTTTTTGTTAAAACACTTTATATGGCATTTTTTTCTCTTCTCTTTCACAATATAAGCATTTCTAAATTATCTTTGTGTTTTTTGTTTTTGTTTTGTTAATCATTAAAAAGCAATTAAAATAAATTATATAATATCCTATACAAATTTGCAAATTTAAGTTATGATATAAATAGATTCTTGTTTTTGATGTCTTCCTCCAGACCACCCTCCCATCCTACCAATCAACAATATTTTCTTTCTGTAATAGGCTGCTTTTCAAATGGATATGTTATCAGGGGTAGTCCATCCTCCACAGATTTTGTTTTCTAAAGAAAATCAAAACTACTTTATCTTCTTTTTATAAATATTGTGTGTTTCTTACAACTTCCATTTTTGATTTTTCCATAAAAAAAGTTGTTTTCTATGGATGGAAATATGGAAATGTCTTTTGACTGATCTTGAAACCCCTACAATCTCTAAGACAACACAATACCAATTTGACTAATTTTATTCGACATGAATTCATCACAGCATCATAGTTTAGATAATATCCTACCTTCTTCAAGTTTTGGCCCAGAAAATCCAATTCAGTTTGGCTATGAATTGATACCAACTCAGCTTGAAACCATGTGCAAATCCGTTGAGCCTGCACCCAAGTTGAATGGTGATCAAAGAACTTGTATTCAGCATCCTGAAACTTTAACCACTCATTAGTCCCTGCAGACAAAGTGAGAAAATAACCGGTCTATCTTAATGTACAAAAATCAATGATGTACAAAAATCAATGTTGCAGCAAATAATCATTGAAGGAATCATTTCTACTACTTAGCTAGTTACTCTTTCATTATTTGGCTTTGGTTCTCCTAAGAGAAGAGTTTAAAATCCTGAATGAACAGGTTTCACCTAAACCATATCCAATTTCTGCTCATAAACTAATGTAGGTGAACATTATCCTCATTAGCATGTAATATTTATGAACACAATATCTTGACCATGAATTTCTTGTCATCCAAATATCGTTAGAGTACAACCCCCTTCACCCATCACCATTGCACATAGTGAATGGGACCGACTGGAATTTAATTCCAATTGCAGTATGTTTCTCACCCAAGATGAAATAAATGTCAAATCAAATTCTTTGAGTCTGGTCAGTAATCCACACTCAATAAAACTTATTAAATATAACCTACATAGCAGAGCTGTAATAGAGAACATACCAAGTAAAATAAATGTCATGCTGGGTCAATATACAACACAATAACTTGTTTCTGAATAAACACAATCAAAACCAAATGCTTCCTGCCCCATAAGACAGATTCAACAAGCTTAATTTTCTTATTGCTTTAAGAACCATCAAAATTGCATCTCCCACAAACATTTACATTAAATGGTGTTTGTGCTGAATATAACATATTGAAGCCAGAGTACTAGATTAGTATTATACAGTAAAAATAAATGCTCTGTTCAGCTTCAGTCAATTATTTTTCTTTTTCAGTTTTTTCCAGATCACATATGATTCCAGAAACCATAATCATGATAGGCTTGGGTGTATACTCACAAAAACCATCCCACTTTCATTTTAATCAACTTTTCCTTCTGCTGCCTCAAGCACTGATCTGTAGGGCCTTATTGACTTGATTATTCCCTTCCTCCCTTGGAATTTAGGGATCTGCGCTTTCTCAGAGCAATTAATCCACATAGCAAATGTCTTAAAACTGTTTCACGCATATTAGATCTCTGCAAGTTCACCCAACTTCTAAATATCAAATCCTTTCTAGTTTTAATTGATTAACAAAGATTCTTACCAACCACCTGCTGGAAAAATAATTCATTTTTAAGAAACATAATCTATTATTGCCAACTACAATAGTTTACTGATAATGTGGGATACTACCACATCTGTATATGTAAGTTTTGACACCCAACGTTCATAAAATTCCTAAAGCATAATATTAACTTTGTTATTTTTAATTTGCATATATCAGAACAACTACCTGTTGTGTATATAAATCAAAGAATGGACATAACTTTATAAGAAGGGGGGTAACAGAAATAGGATAAATCGACATAGGACTCGATATACTCACCTTGGATGGTTGTTTCTGGTTCTGTCACCTCAGTTCCTATTGAATGAATGAATGAATGAATGACAGATCATATCCCCATCAAGTATATCAAACTGTTTTTAAGAAAGCAGTAAAATGAATTATTTTTATTTAAAACACCCATAAAGCAAGGAAATTAATTTCCCTTTTTATTAAAAAATAGTTATGGATTCTTCTATTTCCTTCCCTGCAAAACTCAGAGCAATTAGTAATGAGCTATCCACATAAATTTGCGAGTTAGACAATAACTGCCATAATAATGCAGCAATAAAAAGAAAAGCAAGTGTAGTGGATAAAGCTATTTTTAAAAAATTTCAGGACAGTCATAACAAAAAAGTTAAGCTGGCAAATCAAATGGGGTAAAACTGTCTCAGTCAAAGTACGCAGCTATAACTATATTATTAATATGGTCTACTTAGATCTAGATTTTCAAAACTAACTGACAGCTAGTAGGCATTTTTCACTTAACTAAAATTAGCTAATAAATCCTTTTTAAAATCTCATTTAAAGACATACAGAAATGAAGAAATACACAGAAAAAATTATGATAGAGATGCTTAATAGTATTTATAAGTACATAAGCATTCAATTCCCCAAACTGATAATGGAATTAAGAATACAAACCATGCCCAAATTTTATCTCCAATACCTTGTGCTCTGTATAATCTCATCACTTCTTTTATACTGCTCCCTCCCTACTTCCTCATTACAATCCCAGTCACCTTTGGGCAATTTGCAGATCCAGTCCAGTTTAATTTCACACTGCAGAGGCACCCACTGCAAGGATGCCAAGTCCAGGGCCACACAGTTACGGATGTCATCATTATCATGATTACTGCGGTCAAAGTTGTGATAAGAAAACTAAAGGCCAAAATCAAACGGGAAGCAGTTAGTTCCAAAGAGATTTGCTTCAGGAGAAAAACTCTCTGATCATATTTGGTTGCAAGTGCAAAAAGTCTCAGATAGGCTGCTCTTGATCCTCTGCCAACACACTCTTATTTCCTCCTCTCCTAAGTTATGCTTAGTTTTCCAAAGGTTACAGCATTTTGGGTGAGAAAAATGAAATATTTTCTAATGGTTCTGCTTTACATTATTAAAGTAGTCTAGTTTTGAAACTACTTACCAAGTCAAAAAATAAACAAGTATATATGAAAGCTGAGCTTGCCGGGCATATCTTATCCATTATAATTAATCAAAACAGCTGATAGTGAGAATTTTTCACAGTCAGAAAAAAGAGACAGATATTCTTGCTGCAAAATCCATATTTTCCCAAACCTTTTTTCAGATTTTTTTTCATATAAATACATATTGGCATTTAATTTGTTTGATGCATTGGAATACAAAATACAGAATAGAGAGAATGTTATTTATTATAAAATTGATAGGTTTTTCTGTTTTCAGTATAAATTTTTTAACTAATTGGTTTCTAAGCAGACAAAATTAATGCTAAACAACCTGTAACTCAATTTGTAATTTTGAAAAAGCTGATTCAATAAATAAAGTACTATAATAAATACTGTATAAATATTTACACTTTTGCGTGAATATTCCAAATATAAAATCTACAACTCACTCCAACACCATCACTCCAGCTCCAGCTTCCCTCAGCTCTAGGACTACGGCGATTCAAGCCAATCCAGAACCAATGTTGTTCATGAATGTCAGGTTCCAACTCCCTGGGTCATAGCAAAGTGGGAAAGAAAGAGATGATTGCATAGGTGAAAAAAATCACTTTGACATAATTAAGAGAAGTAGTCTGAGTTTGCTGCTGATGCTGAGAAAAATTCGAGCAATTCATCTTCTTCTTTATTTCCCCTGATTACTTGCCCCAAATAAAAATATTGCCATGATTTAAATTATCTTTTTCGTGAGGTCTATTTGGGCCTTTACAAAATATATAGAAAAACTCTGGGTAAAATTACCTTATACTCAGCCAGTGCATGTATATATTCAGGAGCACAGAGAAATGCACAAATGTATATAAGCCTGTAACTCCAAAGTATACATTTTCTAATTAGTCACAAAAGTACTTAATTTATTCCTCACCCAAAAATCTTGTTGAGGGTATTGGCTACAAAATGTTCCTCCTCATAATCACTCAAGCTCAAGAGCTGTGCTTTTAATTCCTGACAGAACAAATGTGCTGTGATCCAATTTTTCTTTTCCTGAAGCTTATCATAGCTGAATACCTGTCCAAAAATTAAGGAGAAAGGGTAATTTTACTAATTTATGCCTGTTATTATCCCAGCATGACTGACTCTGGTTTTTGTTAGAAATGTATGACAGGATATACCTCACGCAAATACTGCACTGGAAAATGAAATCTATCTTGTTAAAGAAGAATGCTCCATTGGAATAATATTCCTTTTTCTGAAGACTCAACAAAGGCAGAATCTGATAAATATGCAAAAGGAGCATCATGTTTTTCTCATGACCTGCATGGTATCTGGGATAGGATAATGTGAATCTCATGTTTTATTCTACCTAATGCCTTCAATATTGATTGCAGTTTGGGTTTTTTTCTTACTTAATCAAAACCATATTTAAAGTAATGTGTAATAGAGCTACAAATCTATACATTACACCCATTACCTTTCTCCTCAGTTCATAGACATAAAACATTTCAATTGGTCTTTTTCTCATCTCATCTGCTAATTTATTCCCTGGTATCCTTTACTTTTATATTCCAAGTCACAGTCTTCTATACTTATTTTATTTTTATTTATTTTTGGTGTTATTATATACTATTATAATTTAAATGGATAGGTTACAAACAGTACTAAAACAAGGACAACAATACAGTACATTACAATACAGTACATTACAATTACAGACACTATGCATTAATCTTTTCCCCAAACTTTCTAAAAAAGCACTGTTTGAACTAGATTCTGGAAGGCCAAACGTGGAAAATATTCCACAGTGAAAAAGCATTCTCTATACTTTTTGCCATTTCACCTTTCTATAACAAGGACTCCTATGTTATTTTCTCAGAGACCATGTTCAGGACCAAGCAAAACTGTTTTGTACTTTGAAATGAATGGATAACATATGAGAGTTTGTAGTACAGAATAACAGAGTTGGAAGAGACTGTGGAAATCTTTTAGTCCAACCCTCTGTTCAGACTGGAGACCCTATTATATTCTAGACAAATGGCTATCCAATCTCTTCTCCACCCACAACCTCTGGAGGCAAGAGGTTCCACCAATTAATTATTGTCAGGAAATTTCTTCTTAGTTTTAGGTTGGATGGCTCCTTAATAAGTTTCCGTTATTTCTTGTCCTATCCTCAGGTGCTTTTGAGTAGAAGTTGACTTCCCACTTCTCTGTAACAACCCCTCAAATCTTGGAAGACTGCTATCATGTCATTACTAGTCCTTCTTTCATTAGGGTAGATATACCCAGTTCTTGCAGTTCATCATGTTTGCTTCCAGCCCTTTAATCATCTTTGTTGCTCTTTCCTGCACTTTCAACTTTTTTTTTTGTATCATGGTAAACAAAACTGATGCAATCTTAGAAGCAGTATAAAGCAGTACTGTCAAATGTAATGTCCCTAAATAGCAATTTCTGTTTCCAACAAGTTGGTTGCTATATTTTACATTAATTGCAGCTTCTAAGTAGCCTTCAAAAATACCCTTTTATTACAAATATTTTCACACTATTCTGCAGAACTAGAGGATCTCTGACTTGCAAACCAATATGCTGTTACTGTCTCATACCAGCTGGGAAATGCAATCACATTCAAACTATAGCATTTATGTTGAATTATGAAACTGCTGCATTAAAATCAGTTCAAGTTAAAATCATTCTCTTTCCTTTAATCCTTTGAGTATACAGTGATGCTTAAAAGTTGGTGAACCCTTTTGAATGTTCAATATATATTTGCATAAATATGACCTAAAATGTGATAAGTTCTCCACACAAGTTCTAAAACTAGATAAAGAGAGCCCAGTTTAAAAAAAATGAGTTAAAAACTTTAGACTTGTTCATATAAGAGATGACTAGGCTGAGCCTGAGGGTGGAGTCAAATGCGTCATCAGTTTGAAATCTCTATGCTCTCATAGGAAACTTAAATCCACTCCCCTTTGAAGTCCATTGACTCTTACTTGGCATCAATTTGCCTTGACCATTAGTAGATCAGATTCTTGTGAATAGGTAGCATGTAATAAACTTGTAATACTTTTGAACTCTATTCTGGTTCCTGATTTCTTGCATCTGAGAGTTCATTTATTTATTGAGAAAAATGATCCAAAGTATATATCTGTGTATGGCAAAAGTCTAGGATTATCAGTTTATTTGAAGGTGAAGTTAGTGTCATGTTTCTCAATCAATGGGATAATAATCACATGTCAGTGTTTGTGAGACCACAATCAGAAGAAACTAGGCAACAATGGTTTGTACAGCAGAGTTAAAAGGAGAAAGCCACTACTCTCCACAAAGAATACTGATGGTGATTTAGTTTGCGAAAGACCACATGGATAAGCCAGTAGGCTATTGGAAGAATGTCCTGTGGAAAGATGAGACCAAAAAAGAACTTTTTGACTTGAATGAAAAGTTTTATGTTTTCCAAAAGGAAAACACTATATTCCAGCATAAGAACCTTTTCCCATCTGTGAAACATGGTGATGGCAGCATCATAGTTTGGGGCTAGTTTGCTGCCTCTGGACCAGGATGACTTACCATAATTGACAGAACTATGAATTCTGAATTATATTAGATAATTCTGTAGAGGGGGTGGAAACAGAATATATGTAAACTGAAGCTCAAAAGAAAATGAGTCACATAGCAAAACACAAGTTTCACAACCACAGAATGATTAAAGCAATCTTTAGACTAGCCAAGTCAAAGTCCTAATCTTAATCCTATAAAAATGTGGAAAGATTTGAAGCAGGCAGTTCATCTCAGGAAGCCCACCAGCATCCCCAAGTTTAAGTTGTTTTGGCAAGGAGGAATTAGCTAAAAGTTCCTTCAAGCCAATGTGCAGAGAAGATAACAGTTATTTGAAACATGTGGTTGCAGTCACTGCTGCATAAAGAAAGCACACCAGATATTGAAAGCAAAGATTCACATTTTGCCACACCCAAATATGGAGCTTTGGATCATTTCCCTCAATAAATAAGAAGTCTAATATTTTGACTCATCTGTCTAATTTTAGAACTTGTGTAGAGAACAGATGTTTTAGCTCACATTTATGCAGGAATATTGAAAATTCAAAGGTATTCTCAAAATTTTAAGCATCCCTGCAAATCACTAAGGTGGTTGGCTGCCTTCCTTTTACACAGGACTTACTTTATAGCAATATCTCAGTTTGGAGGTAGTGGTCCAACCTGAAGGACAAGAGCCAGTGAGACTGGGTGTAGGATGTGGCGAAGGAAGTTCAGGATTTACTGGTGTCCCCAGATTCTGTCTGCAAATATACTTGGCCTTGAATGTAGTGCAGTTCTTTACTTCCCACAGGCCCATGGCACTTCCTGTGGCCAAAGCAACACAGCCACCTTTGTTATAACCTAATAAGTTCATGAGAAAGAGGAAATACACAAGAGAAAAGGTTTAAACTAATATTTTCTTTCTGATTCAAAATACCACCTTACAAGATTGCTACCATTACAAAAGCTGACCTTTCTCCTTCCTCGAATCACAAAATACCATTCTGATCTTCTCAAATGTGTATTCAAACTGAAATGTTATTGTCATATTGATTGCAAACTTTTTATTAGAAGATGGCCAGAGACTATAGTTAATATCATACATCTGATGAATGTTATATATGGCAGATAGTAGGGGAAATATACAGTTTTTGTTTTATTTTTTCACTCCAGATATTCCTTGTTCCTTTGACTCAATTTCCATAGTATTATCTTGAAGGAGAGATGATGTAAAACATTTACTATTACTGCTGTTGTTATCAAATTATACGCTACCAATTTCACAATTCAAGACTCTGAACAGCTTAAATATAAAAATATTTTTTATATAAATATAAAAACTGATTAAAATTACAAAAACAAAATTTTAAAAAAGGGTTTGGAGGTAGACGTGAAAGTGCCTTCTCTGGTAGTGCACCAACTACCAGCTTCTCCTTCAGGACTCCACGCCAGCAGCATTGCCTTGTCTGAAGGCTAAAAACGAGAGAGTGGATTTTACTTTTGTAGCAAGATATTCCAAAGGATGGGGACCATTGCAGAAAAGGACTTTTCCTGAATCCCAACAGTCAAAATTCCTTGGCTGATTGGATATGCAGTAGGGCCTTCTGCTAACATGAGCAGGGCAAATCAATTCTATTGGGGAAAGATAGTTCTGCAGATATGCGGGATTTATGCCATCAAGGACTTTAAAGGTGAGAACTACTGCCTTGAATTGCACCCAGAAGCGGATAGGCAGCCAGTGAAGTTTGCGTAACAGTGGTGTTACACTTGCCATCTTAGGGGCCTCCAAAACTGTCTGTGCTGCTCCACCTGGACCAACTGGAGCTTCCAAATAAACTTCAAAAGTAGCCCCACGTACAGTGCACTGCAGTAATCCAAGCAGGAGATGACCAGGACAAGAGTGACTGAACACAGTCTAACAATGCATAAAAGGGCACAACTGGCACACAACACAAAGTTGTGGGGAGGCTCTCCTATCCAGAAATTCTATCTACTCTTTGAGCAGGAGATATGGGCCTAAGAGAACCTCCAAGTTGTATAACAAGTCTGCCTAGGGGAGTGCCACCCTATTCATAACTAAAGATGATAAAGCTCTGGACACCCCAAGGCTTTGCATACCCCTGGCCACTCTGTCTTACAGAGGGTTCAGTTGGAGCCTGTTGTCCCTCACAAGGCTTCCACAGCCTCCAGGCACTACAAAAGAACAGTCAGAGCATCACTTGTGTCACCAGGGATGGAGATGTAAAGCTGAGTATCATCAGTAGACTGATATCTTAATCCATGGCGTTGGGTTATCTCACCCAGCAGTTAAAAAGGAGAGAGTACCAAGCCCTGTAGCACCTCACAAAAGAACGGCTATGGGCTCAATCTCTCCCCCCCCCCCATTAGCATTGATTGGAACCAACTACAGAGAAAGGAACCAAATCAGTGCAACGCGTGTACCACCCAGTCCTAAATTCCGCAGCCAGTACAAAAGGATTCTATGGTCAATGATATCATGATAAGCATTTTTCTAAACACACTAATGTGTGCAGAGTAATATGAGGCCATAATGAAATCCTGAACATTTTTGCTCGCAGGTACAGGAATGTAGGATATTATATAACCCCCTGAAAGCCTAAGAATTTCTCCCTGTAAGAGAAGATGTTTCGTAGGGAAGATTTTAAAATAGTATAATGAGAACTATGCACAGTATTTCAAATAGAACTATATTCAATAAGATGTTGACCCTTAAAATCCATTTCTTAATCATTCATTAAGTATCCATTTCTTAATCATTCTTAATATGAACATTTTTATTGCTGATTCACACAAAATTAATGTTTAACAAAGCAAACTACAAGATTTTTTTCTAAAAGGCCACTGTATATTGATATACCACATCAATATAAATATGAAGTTTTTTCTTATATTTAGCACTTATAACAAAGTATATAAGAATGTATATACTTATACTCTTATGATTTGGAACATGATATATACCAGGTTGGTTGCGGTTCCAGTGAGTGTAAGTGACTTCATCTCCACTCAACCAAAGGAAAGAACCAGTTTCATTTATGTCTTGTAATGCAGTCCAGAAATATTCATCCTCCCAGCCATAGATGAGGCTGCTCACGTAGGCCTGCTCAAACCTGGTCCAGGGATAAAGGAACAAATCCATCATTTTCTCACCTCTTCCTCCAACCCTAATCTTTCTCCAGAGCTTCTGCCATTTTCTACTATCTCTGGCAACTAAGTAGCACATACTCCTTCCAAAGGCAACCAAGAGGACAATGGGTAAATACTTCAAAAGCTTTACATTGGAGCATCTAGAAGCCAATCTCACCAATACCTGAATATTTATTTTTAAATGCCACAATACAAAACTCCTCTTGGTGACTTATGGCAGGATACATACCTGTTGGTAATGGTAACCAGGGCAGAGCCATAATCCATGCACATTTTTCGAGCTTCGTTGTATATCACATGGTCATCCCCCAGCCAATAGCATGATGGACTGTGCCATTTCCAACCCTGAGAAGAACAGAACAAGATTGTCTTCAAATTTCCATGTGTTAAATTAGTCTGCATCAACAATTACATTATTTTTTCTCTGACAGAATAAAGATTGAAAATATTCCAATATTTTTTAACTTAACAAAATGTTAAATTACCTTCATAAAAACAGAGTCAATATTATTGTAGAAGGACACCAAAGAGATATCTTTATCTTGCTGTCTATCTGGAGTAAGGCTTCCAGATCTGGGCTGCAAAAATCTAGACAACCATGAGATGAGAAATTGATCATTTTCTTTATCTCGTTCCTGCTATTTTGTGGTCACTGTTTTGCAGCCCAGATCTGGTAGTTCTTAGCCTATTGTCAAACTCGGTCATAAAGTTAGAATGGATGGCACAAACACTCCAGCAACCAACAGTAGCTGAAAAGATTATCCAGATCATTTTTGTCCTTCTTAGTCCCTCAAGTCATAATTGATGGTAACAATGAAATATTACTATCTAACAACAAGAAAGTGACAGGAAAGAAATAAAAAGAACAACTGAAGGGGAGAACAATGCTCCTTCTGTGCTGCTGGTCTCCATTATTCATCACTGCCTAGTAAACCTGTCACAGGATAAGCAAAGAACATAGGGAAACACGGGAACTGGTAAGTTCATAGTCCATTTACATAAACATATATGTTTATAGCCATTGTCATAATTTCTTATAAGAAATTAATTTGTAAGGCAGGCTACAATTTGCAAAATATAGCATTTTGTACATGCTAATTAGTCCCTGTAACTTGAATGCATAACTGAAACATTCATTATATTAATAGCAAAATAAAAATATTACAATAATAATAAAATAAAAAATTAAGGTTGTATGCCACCAAGAGTCTTTCAAGTGAAGTAGGCAGGCATAAAACAAAAGCTCTGAGAAAAGGTTGTCCTTACAATGTCAGATCGTCTCACTATTTACACAATGCCTTTCTTTAGTCTAAGCAATGCCATTCCCACCTCGCTGCCCTTAAATACCTGCCCTGATTTTTCCTTTCTGTATCCCCTCAGCTACAGTTCTCAGGTGCATCTTTTCTGATTGTATGAAACTGATCCTTTTATTTATATTTTGGGAACTGTGAGGTTCAGCACATGGAATTGTTTAAGGAGGCTAAAAGGGGCACAGGTTCTTTTCATGGGCAGCCCTTCCAAGGAACCAAATACTATAATAAACCAAATACACCAATAATCCAAAACATGCTTCACCTCAAATTCTTCCTCTCAATTTCAACTATGAGAGCATGGTGGACAGAAATACATATAAACCAATGCAGCTGTTCGGGCTCAGGATGGAATAATCAAAAACTGGATGTACCCTTAATTCATGGGGCAGCTACAAATGAAAGGCTATAGAACAGGATATAGTCCAATAAACTTAGCTTCCAATTTGATGGCTAACAGCCCTTTTTAAAATCATCTTATCATTCAGCTGAAAAGATTTGCCAGATTTGCCAGAAAGAAAAGAATTCACAATAGAGGAGACAGTTCTCAAAATGTAGAACAGATTATATAGAACAACTCTGGACACAAAATCAAAAGCAACTGTCTTTACAACAAGGGCAAGATATTTGAATAGAAGTTTAAGACTTTCCGAGAATCTGAATTCCACTGACAGAAATCTCCTTCTTGGTTAGATGGTGAATAAAATGGTTAAGGCAGCTAAATTAGGAATAATTTCATCAGTGATGGAATTCCATTTTTTTTTACTACCGGTTCTGTGGGCGTGGCTTGGTGGGTGTGGCAGGGGAAGGATACTTTAAAATCTCCAGTCAGAGGTGGTATTTGCCGGTTCTCCGAACTACTCAAAATTTCCGCTACCGGTTCTCCAGAACTGGTCAGAACCTGCTGAATACCACCTCTGAATTTCATGTTAAAAGAGAAAATTGGGGTGAGGCACATCACCCTTACTGTACTGGTGCTATAAAAATTATTCTATTATTTCTCTGGATTTTATTTTTTAACTAAAAGTCAAAACAAACATAAAGGTTTGCTTTTTGCCTCTGCAAAAACCAATGCCAATCCAAAACCATTCAGGAGAATTTCTGGGTTCAAATTAAAATTCATTTTACATTTCATGTCTGCCACTTATTATGTTAAAATTTGGATGAATGGGAGAGCTATCCTTCGAACTTCCTTTAGCCATAACCATGACCTTATATGAGCTGTTTGCTGAGCATGTTTTTTAAAAATGGTTTAACTAGAAATCAATGAGCCAGGTTTACAAATATTGTCAGTCTTCTTTGATAAAATTGTGTTTACTTTCATATAAATGAGGCAAAACAACCTTAAACCAAAGATCACACTTCTGGAAAGGGAATGGGCATAATCAAAATGTTCTTTTTCTTTTGTCAGGGAGAGCAAATGAATGTTTGCATCCCGATTCCCACAAAGGAAAATCATTCCAATTTGGGACGAAGAAGTTAAACAGTGAAAATGTACAAACTTACTTCTGAAAATTCTCTCCCCCACCATGGCTGCTCCCCACCAAAAGGGAATGAGTTTTTGATCCTGATCTCTGAGGACATTCTGGAATTTTCAAAATGAGGGAGATGACAGGCTATTGTGATGTAAGTCCTTGACTTACAACGACAACTGAGTGCAAAATTTCCATAGCTAAATAAATACATTTTGCCCCATTTTATGATCTTTCTTGCCACAGTTGCTAAGTGAATCATTGTAGTTAAGTAAATAAGATGGTTGTAAGTGAATGTAGCTTCCCCACTGACTTTGTTCATCAAAGGGTCACAAAAGGTGGTCACATGACCCTAGGACATTGCAACTGTCATAAATAAGAATCAGTTGAAAAGCGTCTGAAGTTTGATTATGTGACCATGGAGATGTCACAACAGTTGTAAGTATGAATGCTTAAATATCATGCTTGCTTTTCTGCATTCAATGTTCATGTAACTAACTTTTTAATCAGGACTTGCAAACTTTTTACCATTTGTTACTCCTTCGTCAGAGATGTCAACCGACTGGAAAGGAAAAGCGTTATCTCGGTTTTCATACATGAATCTTCTGCCTTTGACCCTGCACCTAAATGTGTACGTGTAAATGTATAAATCTACATATACATAGGAAAATAATGTCTTTACCTTTCTACAGCCATGATCCTCCTCTTTCCCCTGACTTACTCGACCTCTTTTCTTACAGACAGAAGGCAATGTCTGATTGCAAGGACTGTCATTCCATCTTCCTTCCTGGATGGAAGCACAGCAATTTCAACTTAGTAAAAGCAATTTTCACAATTGGGCCCAGTTTCCAAATATACTAAACTTAATATTGTATCTCACCACCTTCCTGTGTCAACTATATATTTACCAATTTAAACAGTTTTGCCTTTATTGTATGCAAATTTCTAATCTAATGCTAGTTTAATCTTCATGATATCTTTTGTCTGAGACTATCAATTTGTATTTTAGTACAAAAAGACTTTTTGCAATGCTGACCTCTTCAGCACATGCCTGGGTATATTTCTGCAAACTTTGCTTCAGAAATCAGTTTTTAAAACAAGTAAACCAACTTTCCTTCTACATACAAACAATATGTTTGCAAGCTAAAGAACACTGTAGACTATACACACACACACACACACACACACACACACACACACACAGAAGCCTGATGATGGCAGATGAGATTCTGCCGAAACTTTGCTACAACTTTAAAAGCACAACTACAATGACGTGGGAAAATACCCGAACAAAGCTGAATACCATACATGTAAGTACCCGCGAAAACTTAAGATATATATATGTTTTAAATGTTTTAAAAGCGTTATTTAATCCTGTTATACAGCTATTGGCAAAATCTCAAAAGGCTTCAAAAAGTAAATGTTTTGGAAAAAAACGTTTATCAATTTTTCTGCATGATCCAACTATAAAAAATTGGAATGGATTCCTACAAAGCTTTGTCCACTTAAGTGCACATCCCTTAAGATTCCAAAATCGCAAGTCATTAATGAGGAGTTATAGTTATTCACCTACAAGTACACAGTATTATTTTGACTTTTTGATATATGCAGTACGAAGAGTCTTCTTTATACTAAAATTATATATTTCTCTCACGATAGAAAGATTTCCAAAATTTTACTCATACCGGTCCCCAGATAGTCACACAATCTTCAAGGCTATCTCGGAAATTATTGGGCTCAAAAGGATGCCAGAATGTAAATTGCACTGGTGTGCCATCTGACCACTCAAAATTCATCTGTAGTCGAAGATCATTCAGACCAATCCAAAGTTCTTCAACATCTGGCAGAAAAGGGAAGAAAAGAAGAGAGTTTATACAATCCCCTTCTCCGTATATGTTAGTAATGCACTTCTTCATATTCGCTACATCACACAATGCACATGAAATATGTCTACTTCTGCCATTCTAATTTACTTGCCCTCTCTAATATATAAAGTATTTAGCAAAATGCTGCTAAATTCATGAATACTTCCATGAAAACAAGGAATATAGAATTTGGATGTAGCACCCAGAAATGTTGTATGTAGTTGTATGTAACATATTTGGGTGTAGCACCTGTTGTAATTTATCTTTACCATTATTCCCAAACCTACAGTAGCTCAATTTCAGCGTTGCCTTTATCCTCTCTATTCCATATTCTTTTCAGGAATATTTTCCACAAATATACAGCACAGCGATTCATCTAAAAATTCAGTCAGTACCAAAAAAATAATAATAATTAAATTTTTAGAAAAACCAATTTAATTTTGAGGAGGAATAGCCTCATAATTGACCCAAAGATCAACAATCAGCTAAATGAAGTATGGAAGTAATCATTTTGATTATCAAAAAATGACAATTCAAGGCACAATCCAGCTAATCAATATTTTTAATTGAACCAAGACTTGTTAGAAACAAGAAGGATCTGTTTCCTTTTAGCTTAATTCAGTATTCTGTCAGTCAAGAACTTGGTTCTTCTTAAAATGTTAAGCAGAATAAAATCTGGTTATTCTTTGGACATGTAACCATGAAAAAATATCAGGTCTAGGTAGCCTAGAAATCTTAAAAACATTCAATGGCAAAGTTCAAAGTTCAATGGCAAACGATTTCCATCTTGTTGCAAAGAAAGTTATATTTATGAAGTCACCAAAGTTCGACTTGGACATGTCACCATTTTAAAACCACTGGCCACAGAGCAAGCTAATTGGATAAGCATTTTACATCTAACTCACGTCTTATTTTCTGTAAATTCTATCATAGAAGTTCACTACCCATTTTGTAATATGATTACAGAAGTAGGGGAGAGAGAGAGAGAGAAAGAGATTGTGGTAAAGTACATAGGTACCACTCTTCCACTCTTCGACACGTTCTGTGTATGCTCTACGTAATCACCAATCTTCTAGGCCTCTCTTTTTCACTTTGACTGCTACGATGGCAGTCATTTTATAAATGAGATTACCCACTGCAGAGCTGTTGCTTAAGGAGAATGCTTGGGATACGAATTCGAAATTCTGAGTATACCTCAACCTATAAGGATCCAGAGAGCATGATAAAATCAATTATTCCTTACCTTGTTTGATTTGCTTGGAGACAAACTCCAGTTCAGATAGAGTATGGATGCTCACCAAATCCCCTTCACTGCGCAGACAAGTCTTTTTGGCATCTATCCAAGTTTTCTTTTCACTTATCAAACGATAGCAGTTAGATTGGAATGGCTGCCAGCTGGGATCACAATCAATCTTCACTTCAGATTCTACTGGGATTATAGCACATAAATTTAAGAGATTCAGAGAGCACTGGGACATACTTGTGAGACTACAGCCCAGATGTATAACCCAGAAAATAGACTACTATAAACCTAGCACAGAACTTTAGTTTCTGCCATATAAATCATCCTACTAATTCCTTAATCACAGATATTAATAAAAAGATTTAAACTGAAAGCCTTTGTTCATAGTTTTCCATAATTACTTTCAAAAACAATGCAGACATTTATTATCTTCTTATTCCTTACATGGTACTCTAAGTGTCTGGCTTTCAGGCTCTGAAAGTCTTTTACCTGTGTACTTCCGTAAATTATTCAATATAACACTCTCCCCTCAAAATAATCACAAAATAAATATTAAAATAATATAACAATTAAAAGCCCTGTGAAAAGATACATCTTACAGATTTTCTAAACATTGAGAGGGCAGGGAAATACAATCCAGAGCCTCGGAACAACAGAAGATCCTTTTTATATATCAGAAAGTGAGTTTTCCTGCTGATTAAAAGAAATGGACAAATTTATCATGGAAAAGACAGAACTTATCCATTCAGCCACTTGCCCCAACTTATTATGTCCTTACACAAAGACCACCATCTTCATGCTAGCTTGCTGCTGAGTGAGGCTTAAGCTGTATCAAAGCAATCCAGCAAGAAGAGAGACTTTTCATTGAAAAACTAAAGAAGATACCTACAGGAGTGCTCCATGTTCAGTTAAGAGATCAGTCATTTTCATAAGATTGGCACTGGCTAGGCTCCTAACTGCTCTTACAAAATCAAACCCTCTACTTAGGCTTCCAGAAAGTATATAACCATGCACCACAAGCCTTTTCCCCTGAGGTCATGGAAAACTTCCCTAAGATCTACAGGCAAACTTGATATAACTTTCTCATTTATGGTTTACACGGTTTCTTATGAATCCTATAAACAACAGGTGGAAGATGGGAGGTCCTGGCAATTGTTGGAACCACAAAGTGAATACATCTATAAGAAGCTGCTACTGCAAAGTACAATGCCTGTCCAGTGCTTTGACTCAAAAGCAAAACTTTTAATTTCAGGAAACCATAGCAATTGGCTTAGAATCATAACTTTGGGGGGGGGGGGAATTAAGAGGTCAAGCAATTCAATCTGTATTCAGGGCCCATATTTAGTATCTTTGGCTATCTAACCTCTCTTTGAAGACCAGTGTGAGAAATCAAGCCTCAGGCCAGAAAAGAATCTGGCAGCAAATATAGTTGAGAAGACTCTTGAGAAAGGAGCTGGGAAGCCAGCACTGAGGTTATTTCTTCACAGGCTGGTAAGAGCTGATTTTGTATGCAGAACAGGTTTGCAAAAGGCACTTTGCCTGAGTGTGATGCCAGGGTACTCCCTTAGTTCAATGGTGCTTGTGGATTTGTTTAATTTTTCCTCTGCTCCTACAACTGGAGGAGGTATCTGCCACTCTTTTGTTATGAGGACAGGAACTCTATTAGCATTTGTCAAGGCACAGTAAAATAAATTTGCAGCTGCTACCTGCAATTCCAGTGAAAATCAAAAAGCATTCAACAAACATACCCATTAAATGGGAATGCAAATCTATCTCAAAAGAGGTTACCTGAATCCCTCAGAGCACTTCTTTATTTATTTATAGCATCCCCATTTTATCTGGACTTGTTTTCAATATTTTTCCTTTTGGTAAGATCATTTATTGAACTTAGATAGCCTTCAAGAGTACAAATTCTTCTGCTCAATTGAACAAATAAGGAGCAACTAAACTGGATATCTCGGCATACTGAAAATATCACACACCAAAAGGTTCACTTGGTCCTTTTGGAGTGAGATATGTAACTTAACTCTTCTTGATGGCTTTCTTCAATAGATCCCTATTGCAGCCTCTTCCAAGCTAGAGAGGAATATCTTTTTCTGGTAAAGGCACACTGACCATTTCTAGCTGGTTCCATTCTGGCCAATTTATTCAGGTAAAAGGGTCAAGGCTAGGCACATAGCTTGTGGATTCATTTAATCCTGTCATCCAAAAAGCCAACGGTAATATACAATACATTTCCTCATTTACCATACAATTTCTCCGGTAGCAAGGCCCTGTGTGAGATTTTCTGCAAAAACCCATTTCATATTCTGCAGTATTGTTATTGTTTATGTTTAAACTAAAATATTCAAATTGTTTGGGTTTTTTGCATTTTCTAAATTACGCACCTGTGAAGTATGTATTAGAAGTGGCATTTGGTTTCTTCTTACAGATATATGGCAAAGCAATGCTGCAATCCCGATTCTGCCATCCTCCTGAGGACTCTGTCCGTATCACCCCGCAATTTTCTTCATTGGGATTATCAGGTTGATCTGTAAGAGAAGAAGAAACCCTACCTCTGCAACAACCAATCTTCAAACAAACAAAAAATCATAACCCAAGAATGTTATTTCAGTATTAAGGATTCAGTCTTGGATCAACTCTGATTTTCAAGGATTGACAACACGTTCTTTTCAGATTTTGTTATCAGAGATGAAAAAAATATACATCGTGCTGATGGTGATGAGGCTGCATATGGGAAGTTAAAGCAATTTCTGTCCAATACTACAAAATAACTGGATAAACCAATCACAGAAAAGTAAATAGCCTCAAAAATATTATCGTCTTAAAATGTAATACTAAGTTTTAAGACTAGTTACCTTTATTTCAAATAGTTTCCATTCCATGCAAAGGTTGGATTTTTAAAAATAGATTACTATTATCATATTACTTTATTACTATATTGTACATTAAAGCCAAGCAGTGCATCTGTAGTGAAAAAGGACAGGGTATGTTTGATCCAATGTTTGCTAACGATATCATATTTGGGCTGTAAAAATTCAAATATGTTCCTCTAACCACCATCTAGGGGCTGCTCAAATTATTGCATCCCAGATATGGCAGTTCAACTTTGACTTAATGGCATATACTTCTTTCATGCAAATTCTGAAAAGTGGAAAATGGCCTTATCTCAGATAATGTTTTATATTTTGCCTAGCTTTTCATTTTACACACATGCACACACACGCACACACACTATGGGAATATATATTTACACAATAGGATACAGTTAATACAGTTAATATTAAATACAGTTACTAAGCAAGATTTGTTTATACTCTAATTATATAAAATATGTGTTATTTTTATTTGTGTAATCTCATTCAGTTTTTAGTTTCTGTGTCAAACTTACCATTTTCCCAATTAAGGAACTTCAAGGGGGAATTGTCAGACCATTGCCAGCCCCCATTGAGGTCCAAATCATTAAGCCCAATCCAGAGTGTGGAACCATATCCTGTCAGCAGTCCTGGTAGAGTCAGAGAAAGATAGAAGTCACAGAAGCAGATCCAGGGGTGGAATTCTACAGGTTTGTACCTATTCGCTAGAACCGGTTGTTAACATTATAAGCAGTTCGGAGAACCGGTTGTTAGAAGAAATTACTGGCCTAATCCTGTAAGGAAGGCAGGAAGGAAACATTCTGGTGTTGCTTACAGAAACTGCCTCTCTGCTAACATTCTTGGCAGGACTAGACTTCCTGTCTCTGGAACTTCTCTGGAGTTTATTTTCCCTCCTTTGCTGGTAGTTTGCTTGTGTGGAATGACCATTCAAAGTTACAATGGCACTGAAAAAAGTGACTTATGACCATTTTTCACACTTACAACTGTTGCAGCATCCCCACAGGCCAGACGAGGAGATACGTGCCTCTATGTGAGTGATGTTGAGTGGGCCACGCCTAGCCAGTCATATTACCACCAAGCCACACCCACCAACTAAGCCACGCCCACAGAACCAATTGTTAAAAAAATTGAATCCCACCCTGAGCAGATCCTATACCGTAAATCATACTAAGCCATAATGGCACCTAAAAACACATTCTGCACATTCTTGTTAAACCATGGTGATAGTCATTGCACACCAAGCACAAACTAATCTTCTCTGAATCTCCTCTCTTTTAAGCATCCATTTGCACTGGGCAGCTTCCTTTTACAATATTCATACTGCATATTCAAATATTTTATACATAGGTATATATTGATACTTTCTCTGTATTGATATTCATTTTGTTCAGATACTGAAGAACGTCCCAAAAACAACCACTATTGGAAGGCCTATGGTTAGTCAAGTCTGCAGAGCAAATCCTTTTTCCATCCCTTTTACTAGGAGAACCTGTTTCAAGTACAGATTTCCAATACTTACCATTGATGTAGGTCTGCTCATGAATCGCAGTGATACTAAGTAAGCTGGCTCCCTGCTGCTCACAGCTCTTTCCAGCCTCCTGCCAAGACAGGGTGGACTGGAAGTTGAACTGATAGCAACTATTGGTGAGTTGGTCTCTATCCCAGAATGTATCACAGTCATTGCCTACAAGGATAGGACAAAAAGGAAGTTACTCCAAGTTAACACAATATATCCTCACCTTAATTAGCAAATGGATTCGAAAAAAAAGTTAAGTTTTGTGGCCAGGGTTGCCATGTGAAAAATAATAATAATAATATGCAAGGTAGAATTGTTGGATTCAGAAAACTATGAGGTAGAATGCATAAACTTATGTTTACTTTTTACTGTTATTGTAAGACATATAGATAGTCCTTGATTAACAATCCTAATTTGTGCCAGAATTTCTGTCTCTAAGCAAAGAGATGATTAGGGAAAACTTCATGGGCCTGCACTGTTGAGCAGCTGTTTTGGTAATCCTGGTTATAGTCATTCAGCAAAAACTGGTGCCATTTTTAGGCAAGAACCACATGATTCTCTTGGCCTGCATGAATTGTTGTCTTTGTCCTGCTGTATTCTCCTCAGCTAGGCCCAGTGAGCATCTTTCTGCAGACAGGATCTGTCCTCTTACCATGCTTGCTTCCACTTCAGTTCCCCCTTTGCCCTTCCGCCCTTTCGGCCACCTTGCACTACACTACTACCAACTACTATTCGCTTGCCATTCCCAGCCAGCTGACCTTGGCCATCTTCCTCCCACTGCTGGCCTCTGTGATACGTCACCTTGGGAGACATAAGGGATTGCGGGGCGGATGATGGGCTATGAATTGGAAGGCAGAAGGGCAGCAGAGAGGCAGGGATGACAGAATGCAAGGCAGCCAAAAGGGCAGAGGTGGGAGGGAGATTGGTGGGAGTTGTATGCTGTGATCATAAAGGCAGTTCTGCCAAGTGCCCAAATTTTGATCGTGTAGAGATGCTGCAATGGTTGTAACTTTGGAGGACTGGTAATAATTACCATTTGTTCAATGTTGTCATGGCTGAACAAATTGGTCATTAAGTGAGGACTACAACAACAGTTCACAGTTGCAACAATGATTAAAAAGTAACACTGTGACCAATCTTCACATTTATCACCTTGGCAAGTCAAAAACAATGTAAAGTTGAAATAAGATTGTGAGCACAGTTGCAGTTTCACTTAGTGGCTGCTTTGATTAGCCACCAAGTTTCCGTTTCTAATTACAGTAATAAACAACAACTATAGGTGGTCCTTGACTTACAATCATTCATTTAGTGACCATTCAATGTTACAACAGCACTGAAAAAAAAGTGACTTGTGATTGGTTTTCACACTTACTACCTTTACAACATCCCCATGGTCATGTGATCAAAATTTGGGCACTTGGCAACTGTCATGTATCTATGATAGCTGCAGTGTCTCAGGACCATATAATCACCATTTGTAACCTCTTCTAAGAAAGTCAATGGGGGAAGCCAGATTTGCTTAAAAACTGCTTGATTCACTTAGCAAAAGCTATGATTCATTTCATAACTGTGGGAAAAAAGATTGTAAAATGGGATTCAACTCGCTTAACAACAGCCTTGCTTTACCAATGGAAATTTGGGCTGAACTGTAGGGTTATAAGTTTACCTGTATATACATGTGCATTTGTACACATATCCAATGCTTATATAAATACCTTTTTTCTACATTCCACAGTTCTAGCTCCACAGTTCTAGTTATTAAGCAGAAGAATCAGACATATAAGAAAGAAAAGAAAGCAAGTATTAGAGAAAAATGTGTGTGTGTGTGTGTGTGTGTGTGTGTGTGTGTGTGTATGGTATTCAACTTTGTTCAGGTATTTTCCCATGTCATTATAGTTGTGCTTTTAAAGTTGTAGCAACGTTCCGGCAGAATCTCACCTGCCATCATCAGGCTTGTGTATTGTGTTCGTCTGTGAGTCAGACTTTTATAGATACCCATGAAAACTTAAGAAAACACACACACACACACACACACACACACACACACACACACATAATTTGAGCCTAGTTACAAAGTCGCAACTAAAGGCAGGAAGTACAGGAAAGTAATACAGATGAGTTAAGTTGACCGGAGACTGGCAGGAAAGAATAACAAGAAGGCTCAGGAAAAATCTATAAAGATTTTTTAGTAGCAGAATTATAGCCCAAAGCCTTAAGAACTTAGCTGTGAAAAGGAGAAACAATAAAAACACTTGTGGAATCTAGCCAAAAAAGAAAGAACCCATTTAACTGCACATAATCACTACTACATTCTTGTGACTAAATTGAAAAGTATTAGCCTAGGGAGTCATATGCCCATAATTCTATACAATCAGAAGCAGCTTACTCTTAACAGGGCAGAATCCCCATCGCTCATCTTTGCCATAATCCTGTGTGGTGGCACACCAGAGATGGCCATCTCCACGTCCCATACTTGTACAATCATGAAACCACTGATTATCGTACTTGAAGGGGATGGTGCAGGGTTTTCCATGAGAGTTGCCTTGAATAGTGTAAATTTCTGGAAAAGAGAGAAAGTTATATCTCATATTTGTCTTCTGCTAGAAAAAAGGAAATGTTAATAATTTTGAACAAAAGGTTTGGCAATCAACACTTTGTAATCCAGATTAAGATACTCTAATTCCTTTAGCCATAATCAACCTGTAATGCTTCATTTCAAATAAATCCACCACATATTTAATAACTGGAAGATTGTTCCAATCCATGCATGACTGTATCCCCCCTCCCAATAGTCTCCACATACGCTCTCCAATATAATCTACAAATTCTGCATCAAGTGGAGAACAATATATTTAGAAAATTCAGGGTTTATTTGTTGAAAAAAATCAAGTTGGCAGATGGCTAAAACAAAAAATAGATCATTTGCATTTAAATTCATAAATATTCAGCAGATAACTCAATCCCTGGTAGTGTTTGAAAGCGTGCTACTTAACTCTACTTAACTCTGAGGAAAAATATTTATTCCTGTCAAGAACGGTAATAGTTAAATACTAGAAAAGTTACTCTTATAATTCCATTTATGTTTTGGCAGGAACAATTAATAGTTTTTAATAGTTGCCATGTTAATCTTTTCTGAAAACAATCTTTTATGGAAACTTTTAAAATTATCCAGTTTAATTATTGTTATACATGATGATAAAATTGGTTAGACTAAGATGCCACAAAAATCTTTTTATGTTAATAGGTCGATTATAGATCACAGATTAATACAAAATACAATTAAATGAGATTGAATCTTTGAAACATAGTTCTTCTCTATGTGCAAAGACAATGGAGGACAACGAAGATTCTCCATGTATTCTTTTGGAAAAAATACATATAAGTGTCTTACTCATTATAGATTATAATTCCATAAGAATTACTAAATTGCTCTTATCTAAATTTGCCTTGGTTATTCATTTTTCATAATGCAAAAAGCAGTCTTAAAATTCTGCATTAAGATTGCCCAAATCCTTGATTGAGAGAAACTAAATCCAAACTAAATAAAACTGCGTTTAATTAATTTGCTTTTGAAAACATTTAGACTACTGAATTTGCAGTGTCCCTGTTTCACTTTTTGGTATCAAAAGCTTCATGAGATGTTGTTAAATCTTCTATTTATCTTAAGAGAAACTTTATTTTACTTTTCTAACACAAGCTATATATCTTGGCATTGTCAAATAACTGTTTCTGTACAACTGTAAAACTATAAAATATGCACAAAGGTTTGCTGACAGTTTTGGATCCTGACTAAACCACTCATTGATCTCATCATTCAGATAAATCAGTAGCATTTAAATAATTTGAAATCAAACTATTCACTGAATACTCTATTCTGAATATTCTATTTAGAACATTCTATTTAGACTGAATTTAGTGTAATAGCTGAGCTTGGATTCAAATCAGAGCAGAAACCACTATCTCACCATACAGCTGTTTCTCATAGAAACTCAGGCTCATTTTTAAATGCTAAGAGATGTTCAGAATGAATGGTGGTTGATGGCTTTGGAGTTCATCTATCCTTTGGAAAAAATGGAATTCTAAATTATAGTGAAATAGCGGGTTGAATCTTTATATGTACTTCAGAAGACAGTAAAATTATTCTGATACTATTGTGCAATGTATTTATTCAGGTTGATTTTGGGATAATGGGTGAAACCTACAAAATGAACAGTAGGGATTTCAATGTATCTACACTATCAAAACTAGAATTTAACAAGGTAGCCAATATTTTTGAAGTATTATTTCAGCAGATTTATATGATTGGTAGTATTCTTTAACAAACATTCTTAATTTAATTCAAATTACTATTGAAGAGATTAGTTGGAATTTATGATAGATCTTTCCATTTCAGTTTGAGAAAAATCAATGAAAACAGGCTGCTGGTTTTATATTTTGTTTGTCTCTCAAGGAAAGCTATGATCAGAGAAATGGCAACTTTTTCATATTTGCTTTCTAATGTTTATAATGACCGATCAACAAATATTGCTCATAATTATATAACTAAAGTGAATAGGACCAAGATGGACTGAAAGTTATTTTCCTCATACAATAAATGTAAGAACTGATCAAGGTGGACTGAAAGTTATTTTCCTCATACAATAAATGTAGGAATTTACTATATAAACTAATTAATCATATGTTGCTATAACAACCAATCAATATACGTTAACTTTAAAACTTAATGTATTTAAAATTTAAATAGGAGATTATCATCTAAGTCAGATAGTGAGGATTGGCTACCCATAAATCTTACAGATATTGCTAAACTATAATTCCTAGTAACTCTAGCTAAACTATAATTCCTAGTAACTCTAGCTAAACTATAATTCCTAGTAACTCTAGCTAGCAGGGCTAAAATTAAGGGATGTTGGGAACAATCAGAAGCTCAGAAATTACCCTTTAATTGTTGTAGCAATGATTTGATAATGCTTGGACAATCAAAAAGTTGCCTATCACTATCTTGCTCTACTTTCAAGATGCAAAGACAGCTAGCCGATTGGCTACTGGAAGTAAAAATGCTAAATTACATAACTGGAACTCATAAGCATGTACTACTACTAGCCTATACTCATTAGAGTCAATGATATCTGTTAATGATATTTTTGCTAATATAATTTTAACAAAAAAATTCTAAAAAGATATTTAATTTGGATAGTGAAGAATAACATTGTTAATTATGACATGTGCAATGATAAGAAACAACAACATTAATTTTCAGTCTTCTAATTAAGGTTTTACCAGAGTATGGCCTAGAGCACAAATCTTCATCATGGCCATAGATCTTCCATTGTCCTCCATGAGCCTGGTCACCTCTCTCAGCTGGTGTCAGTGACCAGTTCCCCAACCTTGAGCTCAAATATTGGGAAAGCTGGTCCCCTAGACTCCGACAGTTCCACCGCATGTTGACAGATTCACGGTCACATTCATAAGTGGCTAATGCATGGGTAGTGGCACTGCTGTTTGCAGACTTCCAGGAAACTCCCAAGCACTGCATATTTCCAATGTTGAAAAGCCGGTTCCTGGAAACCCATTTCCACTTCTGAGCAGGCAGACTTGCATTACAGATCTTAGAAATTTTCACCAAAGTGTCCTTTGTTTCCAAGCAACTCTGAAGACCACTGTTATAGATGAGAAATATCCCAGAATCTGAGAAAATACAAATAAACAACAACAAATATTACTACAGTTATTGAAAGTTCAAACACAGAAAGCCATTCAGTATCATCTACCTGACACATATCCCAAAATACCTCACAAATGAAGCCATCTAAATTTGGCCTTGGCACTGAGTTAGAAGCAGACAATAAATATGGCAAGAAACTGTTAGTAAATCAATATGAATGGGAAAAGACCCGGAGTTAAACAAAATGTGTACAAGACACCAAAGAGAGAGCTGGCCTTTGGATCTTCCAAATCTAAAACTATGTCATAAAGCAAGCTACCTAACATAGAGAACATAATGGATAAACCCCCTGAATAGTTGAATGTCAATTTTGGAGAGGGCTGATTTAGGGCTCCATTGATGCTTACAGCACAGAGTCACAAAGGATGGTAAAAACATAAAAGGACATATTATCAAACAAAGTTTGATAAACATATGGAATACAGGTGGTCCTGTATTCCAACCACAATTGAGCCCAAAATTTCTGCTTGTCAGAAAGTTGCAAAAGGTGATCACCTGACCCTGGGACACTGCAATATGAGTCAGTTGCCAAACATCTAAATTTTGAGCAGGTGACTATGGGGATGCTGCAACAGTCGTAAGTGTGGAAAATGCTCAAAAATCATCTTTTTCAGTGCTGCTGTAACCTTGAACAGTCACTACATGAATTGTTGTAAGTCAAGGACTACTGCACTACAAAGATAATACAGTAATAACACAACAATTTCACCTCTTGCTTCTCTCTCAGATGCTTTTTCTGTTGGGAGATAGCAGGAAAAATATAATTACATAGACAAATATGGTTTACTAAGATTCTACAAGCAAATAAAAAATAGCAGAAACTGTTTAGTGAAAGGTGGGATATATCATGGTTGATGTATTTACAAATATCCAGAAAGATAAAATCAGATTTCAAAAAGGAAACAGGAATATTAAGAAAAATTGTGAAATTCATACAAAATTAGCAATATTAATTAGGATACTTATATATAAACTCTTACCTAAAAATGATAGGGAAACAGAACACACAAACAAATCTGTGTTGGAAAATGGATGAAAATTTTCAAAGCTATTACCATATAACAATGGAAATAATTATGCAATAATCTGTAAAACTCAAACCAAGCCATAATTTCAAGGAAAATGGTGTGTGTGTGTGTGTGTGTGTGTGTGTGTGTGTGTGTAGACTAGTCAGATGTTTCAACCAAAAACCATGGAGTTCATCTTTTTTATTTATTTTTTATTTTATTTTTGTTTGTCAATTGCTTACAAGATAATAGGTATAAGTAAAAACATAGTTATGAATACATGGATACATATAAAAAAAATAAAAAAACAATAGGACAGGGACGGTACGCATGTTGGTGCACTTATGCACACTTCCCTCTTAGGAAAGGGGTGGGGGGTTAATAGTAGAAAATCTAAGGTTAAAATTTTGGTGATTTGGGGAAGAAATCACAGAGTCAGGTAATAGAGTATTCCAGACATTGATCACTCTTTTGCTGAAGTCGTATTTCCTGCAATCAAGTTTGGTGCAATTAACCTTGAGTTTGTATTTATTGTTTGCTTTTGTATTGTTATGGCTGAAGCTGAAGTATTCATTGACAGGTAGGACATTGCAATGTATGATTTTATATACCATACTTAGATTGGACCGGAGGTGGTGTAGTTCTAGGTTTTCTAGGTCTAGAAAGTCTGGTGTCATAAGGTATTCTGCAACGAGTAGAGGAGTGGAGAACTCTTCTTGTGAAATCGTCACCTAGTGCTGACCAATTCTCTCTTTCTTGCTGTTTTCTCTACCATTTCTGCTGTTATTACAAGTTCCTTCATTTCAACATTGGGAACAGTCATATGGCGACCTGTTTAACACTGCCATGATTTACTACCATAATTCAGTGCTCAATTATAGTCATAAGTCAAGGAGTACCTATATTTTTTCAACATCAATTTTCTCATCAATTTTTCATTACTGATAATTTTTACAGAAGTTCCAGTGAACCATTTTGGGGACTGTGTTATGTCATTATTTGTAATCAATTCATGAAATCTTCTTATACAAGCTGAATATATAATCTACTGTTTCTCCTACTTCTTTGCACAATCTGCATTTTGGATCATTTGATGATTTTGCAGTTCTGGTCTTGATTGCATTAGATTAAATAGTTTGTTCCTGTGCAGCCAAATTCAAGCTTTCATATTTTTTTAAAAAATGTAAGCCATTGCCATGTTTTATCTTTATTCTTTTTCCTTTCAAATTTTCATAGAAATTGACCATGTAATTCTCCTTGTTACATTCTGTTTGTGTTTTGATTACATTACATTACAACATTTACTTTTCGTTTCCTGTACATTTTGTAAGTTCCAATTTTTGTCTGGTATAAATTATAATATTTACTTTTTATTTCCTGTACATTTAGTAAGTTCCAATTTTTGTCTGGTATAAATGCTTGTTGATATTTGCTATTATTTGTTGTTGTCATTGGTCACACAGTGTTATTATTATTATTACTTCCTTTTTTCTACTTTTTAGGTATTTTACTTTTTGTTAAAATTTGCTTCATCTAAGAGTATTTTCCTTTATCAATGTAAACACCTAATGGAAGACAATATGGCAGGCGTAAGTAACCAGGAATATGGGTTGAGTTCAAAGCACTAAAAGTTTATTACATGCTATCTATATATAAGAATTTCAAACTGATGACACATTTGACCACTTTCAAGGTCTATCTGATCATTCACTACAAAATATATATAGCTCAGAATTGAACTATAGGATCACTGCTGGTTTCTGAACTTAGCTGTTTGTTTCCTGACATTTCGTTACACAACTGGGTAACATCATCAATGTTAGTGAGTATGGAGTTTGTTCCATGTTGTATTCAGTATTTTCTGTGCCAATTTTGGTGTGTGTGGTTTTCTTCTTGGTAGTTTATTGATTGTATTCTGCTATAGTGTTTGTTTGACGTTAATCCCTACTTTTAAGGGTGTTAAGCTGCTACAGAATATGTATTACTTTTTTTCTTTCCTTCATAATTTTTAATTGTCTCTTTTATATGTAAATATGGTTTATCCCTATGTAGATAAACATATTCATATATTTAGATAAATATCTTCAAACTATCCATCTTGTTATGAATCACAGTGGTTATTTTTATGTTATGCTTAACTTTGGATGAAAAGTCAAATAATCCTATGTGTACAATATTGATATCTTAATATACCCAGGAAACTACAGACCAATTAGCCTAACATCAATATCTGAGAAGATATTGGAAAAGATAATCAAAATATAAATTGTGAACATCTAGAAACAAATAGAGTTGTTACTAAAAGCCAACACGTGTTTATTAAAAACAGATCATGCCAAACCAATCTTATTTCATTCTTTGATAAAATGACTAAATTAGTAGATCGGTGAAATGCTGTTGACATAGTATATTTAGATTTCAGTAAGCCATTTAACGAAGTACATCTCAACCTATTTCTTGATAAGCTAAAAAAATGTGGGATAGACAGCATCATCACCAAATGGATTTGTAACTGGCATACTCATTATGTAGTTCTTAATAGTACTATATTTACTTGGAGGGAAGTAAGCAGTGGGGTTCATAAGGTTCCATCTTAGGGCTAGTACTCTTCAATATCTTCATAAACATTGTAGATGAGAGGATACAAGGGGAACTCATCAAATTTGCAGATGATACTAAAGTAGCAGGAATAGCTAACTCCCCAGAAGACAAGTTCAGAATCCAAAAGGATTTTGACAGACTTGAATGGTCAGAATGAGATTTAATGTAGAAAAAAGCAAGGTTTTACACTCGAGCAAGAAAAACCAAAGGTACACTTAAGTGCCTGCTAAATTGCTATTTTTCCTTTTTCTGACCATCATCTGTTCTGCTGTGCCAGGAGATTTAGATTAGCTAGGAATCAGGAAATGGTTGGATTTCTTGCTTTCTAGCTAGTCTTTAGATCTTTGGCTCTGCTTTTAAGCACAGCTGAACCTCCCTTAGGACTGAAGGTTCTATTATTCAGTGCAGACTCACGGCAAGCAAATTTGAGAGACTGAGTTAGCCGGTGGCAGATAGATAGATCTCTGAATGAATCTGTGATTCTGTGGGCAACTCAATCTGCCTGCCTGCTTTGCCTGATTTTGGGTAAAAGTAAGTGTATGTATGTATGTATGTATGTATGTATGTATGTGTATGTGTATATGTATACGTATATGTATATATAAAAAATATAAAATTCAATATTTACATACATGGTGTGTTGTGAGTTAATTTTGTGAGTTTGCTTGCTGGCAAATTTTATGAGTTTGCTTGCAAGCAAATTTTATGTGACAGACTGAGCTAGCCAACGTCAGATAGACAGAGCTCTGAATGAATCTGTGATTCTGTGAGCAACTCAATCTGCCTGCCTGCTTTGCCTGAAGTCGCTCTTTTTGTTTATAAAAAATTCAATATTTATATAAATATTTATAATATTTACATACAAGCCATGCCCAGCCAGTCACATGACCACCACACCCACAAATTAGGCCATGCCCAGAGAACCGGTTAGTGGTCCCTGGGATTTAAAATTACGAGTTTGGTGGTCCCTGAGGTCCAAAAGGTTGGCAACCCCTGGTCTAGAGAAAGAAGGACCCAGGGGTGACATGATAGCAGTATTCCAGTATTTGAGGGGCTGTCCCAAAGAAGAGGGGGTCAACTTATTTTCCAAAGCACCAGAAGGCAAGACAAGAAACAATGGATGGAAACTAATCAAGGAGAGAAGCAACCTGGAATTAAAGAGAAACTTCCTAAGAGTGAGAACAATTAACCAGTGGAAGAGCTTGCCACCAGAAGTTGTGGGTTCTGAAGTTTTTTAAAGAATAGACTGGACAGCCACTTGTCTCAAATTGTATAGGTCTCCTGCTTGAGCAGGGGATTGAACTTGAAGATCCCCAACCTCTGTTCTGATTGATTAACTGGAATTAATACTGATA